GAACATTTTTTTGAACAATGATCTAAACAAAAGTACAATAATTATGCAGAGGAAGTTTCCTTTGGGAATGCCTACCAAATAAAAAAAATTTGGTCTGTTTGGGGATAAATACATGAGTACTTAAATTTAGTTAATTTAAAATACCGGGATAAATTTGACAAAGTAAAGTACATTCAAAAATTATTTTTTAAAAAGATAAAATTTATGTCATTTACACTTGTAAGTAAAATGTTGAAGTGTTAATTTATAAAACCTGGAAACTTATCCATAAACATGTATTGTTATTTCGCCCTAAAACATAACATCTAAATTTTACTAATTACATTGATTTTGTATTAAGTAAAAAATATCTTTGACATTTTTTATTAATGCTTCATAGAAAACAATTCACAAATCTAAGTTTTTTAAAAATAAAACACTTTGTCACCTTAGTACAGTAACAGGTTATCTCCTATTAAATTTTAATAGGAGTTAACCTGTTACTGCAATAAGGTGATGACTTGTGTAAATAGCACTTTTAATAACTTGTTGTTATTACTTTGGTGAGAAAACTGGATTTACGAACAGAAATTCAAAATATGTAAAGAAACATTTTTCTATTTTTTATCCAATTTAAACCCATCAACATGTGCATTTTATACATACCTTTGCATGAATTAATGATTCATCTACAAACACCTGGAGTTTTCTCTCTATCTTCATTCTTTCAACTTGCAAGGTTCAACTCTGAAAGCACCACAAATCATAGTTAAACCAATAACTGAATGTGAATACAAATGTGTTTGGGAGGGTATTTTTTTTACAGAATTTTCGGCATCTGACAAATAGCATTAAGGATTGAGGATTTTTGCTCAAAATTCAGAAATTAAGGTTGGACTGGTCTCTTTGTTTACTTCTAAGTTAATCATTCCCTTTATTCATAAACATTAAATAACCTATATAAATTATAAGAATCAACACCTTTTTTTGGAACAGCCATTTAACATATATAGTTAACCGACATTTTCCTGTTGAAATCACAAATAAACATGTATTAGCATAAAAATTTACAAAATTCTGGATACCCTAGTAATTAAGTACTTAACTCTCAAAAGTGCTAACAGCAGAGGTGACCTGCCAGTATAGTTATGAGGCCAACCTGCACATCAGTGCACATCTGACAAAGATCTTGTTTGTTATTCATAGAATTTTGAAATAGGAATCCCATATTAAGCAATGGATCATCCCCAACTAAAGCAGACTTAAAAAAAAATTCAGCACAGCTTTTACCTTTCAGTGAACAGTCCAATTACATCCAGAACAAACTTAAGAATATTGTCTTTTATTTGAAATTTTTCCCTCTTTTCACGTCTGATTCTTTCATCTCATTCTATAAATAAATGGTAATGAATATTATTTTTTCACCTGGTTACAATTATAACAATGTTAATCTTTTTTGTGTTGATTATCTGAATGATGTTACTATATGCAGGGAAAAATCAAGTGCTGAATTACATCTATGTTTACTGAAAACATTGTAAATTGTAACAACACCCAGTTTATTAAATTATGTGTGGTTTCTAAATTCAAATGTAATTATTATACAAGAGGGCCATGATGGCCCTGAGGTCGCTCACCTGTATATAAGGCCGCCCCAACCCCCCCCCCCCCCCCCAACATTGCAGGGCCAATTTAACCAAAGGGCTTTTATTTGCACAAACTTGGTAGACACCCATAAGAAAATGTTTCATGCTAAACATCTAAGCTCTAGCTCATTGGGCTATTTAAAAGAAGATTTTTTTAAAGTTTTTACTATACACATATAGTTAAAAACAATGACACGCCTGGGGCCGGGCCAGTTATGACCCCAGGGTTTTTATTTGAACAAACTTTGTAGACACTTACTAGAATATATTTCATGCTTAATATCTAAACTCTAGCTATTTGGGTTTTTTCAAAGAAGATTTTAAGTTTTTGCTATACACATATAAGGAAAATCAATGACCCCGGGGGCAGGGCCAATTTTGACCCCAGGTCTTTTATTTGAACAAACTTTGTAGACACTCACTAAAAAGATGTTTCATGCTTAATATCTTAACTCTAGCTATTTGGGTTTTTTCAAAAAAGATTTTTTAAGTTTTTTGCTATACACATATAAGGAAAATCAATGACCCCCGGGGCGGGGCCAATTTTGACCCCGGGGCTTTTATTTGAACAAACTTGGTAGACACCTATTAGAACATGTTTGATGCTAAATATCTTAACCATAGCTCTTTGAGTTCTTTAAAAGAAGATTTTTAAGTTTTTACTATATGCATATATAGGGAAAAATCAATGACCCCCCCGGGCGGGGTCAATTTTGACCCCAGGGCTTTTATTTGAACAAACTTGGTAGACACTTATTAGAACATGTTTCATGCTAAATATCTTAGCTCTAACTCTTTTGGTTCTTTAAAAGAAGATTTTTTAAGTTTTTAGTATATGCATATAGAGAAAATCAATGACCCCCTGGGGCGGGGCCAATTTTGACCCCAGGGCTTTTCTTTGAACAAACTTGATAGACACCTATAAGAACATGTTTGATGCTCAATATCTTAGCCATAGCTCTTTGAGTTCTTTAAAAAAAGATTTTTTAAGTTTTCACTATATGCATATAGGGAAAATCAATGACCCCCCCGGGGCGGGGCCAATTTTGACCCCAGGGCTTTTATTTGAACAAACTTGGTAGACACTCACTAGAAGATGTTTCATGCCAAATATCTAAGCTCTAGCTCTTATGGTTTTTTAAAAGAAGATATTTAAAGTTTTTTCTTTCGGTTGCCATGGCAACCAGAGTTCTGCATGGAATTAAATTCTTTGAACAATTTTTAAAGGTGACCACCAAAGGAACATTCCTGTGAAGTTTGGATGAAATTGGCCTTGTGGTTTATGAGGAGATGTCATTTAAAGTAAAAGTTTACGGACGACGGACGGACGACGGACGCCGGACGAAAAGCGATCACAAAAGCTCACCCTGTCACTTTGTGACAGGTGAGCTAAAAAGAATGTTTAACAGATATTTTCTGTGCTTTTTGTTTTGGTCTGTTATGGTTTGCTAAAAAAAAAATCACACTTGAGTTAGTCTCAAGAAAATGATAAATCTACACACATCAACACATATTTATATATACAGACATAAACACTCACTGTCACGTGAAAAAGACGAAGCGCCGCAATGCGACGAAAACCAGGTTTTCAACGGCCAAGTTTTTATGTGACAGCAATCAATAGGTCAAAGTGCACTGAAGTTATTGGGTAGAAGCTGAAAATTCTATTGTAAGCAAATGACCTTGAACTTGCTCCCAGATATCTAAGTAGCAATCCAAAGCTGCCACTCAGCAAGTTTACGTCAAAAGGTCAAAGCAAACTCAAGTTATAACATGAAAACTAAATACATTAACCTTGATCACAGACACCTGGGTAGCAATCCCAAGCTGCCTCTTGATGTCAAAAGGCCAAAGCAAATTCAAGTTATTGAGTGGAAACTGAATTTCTATTTTTAGTAACAGTGACCTTGACCTTGATCACAGACACCTGGATAGCAATCCCATGATGCCTCTTGATATAAGCTATCCATACATCAAGTTTGGTGTCAATAGGCCAAACCAAACTCAAGTTATTGAGCAGAAACTGAATTTCTATTTTTAGTAACAGTGACCTTGACCTTGATAACAGACACCTGGGTAGCAATCCCAAGCTGCCTCTTGATATAAGCTATCCATACACCTAGTTAGGTATCAATAGGCCAAAGCAAACTCAAGTTATAGAGGGGAAACTGAATTTCTATTTTTAGTAACAGTGACCTTGACCTTGATCACAGACACCTGGATAGCAATCCCATGCTGCCTCTTGATATAAGCTATCCATACACCAAGTTTGGTGTCGATAGGCCAAAGCAAACTCAAGTTATTGAGCGGAAACTGAATTTCTATTTTCAGTAACAGTGACCTTGACCTTGATCACAGACACCTGGGTAGCAATCCAAAGCTGCCTCTTGATATAAGCTATCCATAGACCAAGTTTGGTGTCAATAGGCCAAACCAAACTCAAGTTATAGAGCAGAAACTGAATTTCTATTTTTAGTAACAGTGACCTTGACCTTGATCACAGACACCTGGATAGCAATCCCAATGATATCAGCTATCCATACACCAAGTTTGGTGTCAATAGGCCAAACCAAACTCAAGTTATTGAGCGGAAACTGAATTTCTATTTTTAGTAACAGTGACCTTGACCTTGATCACAGACACCTGGGTAGCAATCCCAAGCTGCCTCTTGATATAAGCTATCCATACACCAAGTTTGGTGTCAATAGGTCAAAGCAAACTCAAGTTATTGAGCGGAAACTGAATTTCTATTTTTAGTAACAGTGACCTTGACCTTGATCACAGACACCTGGGTAGCAATCCCAACCTGCCCCTTAATATAAGCTATCGATACACCAAGTTTGGTGTCAATAGGCCAAAGCAAACTAAAGTTATTGAGCGGAAACCAAAAGTTGACGCCCGCCCGCCGACTTCGGCATTACAATAACCCGGTTTTCGTTGAAAACCTGGTTAAAAATTAACAAACCTGAATCTGCCCAATACTTTTCATCAGAACAGCCTGTTTCTGCAGTATCTGTGCCGCTCCTAAAACATCTAAACAAGGTCCTCCACAGCCTTCACCTAACTCTGGCAATAATTCTGTCATAGTGTCCTGATCATTCATTTGAGGCTTTACTTTCTCTATTGAAGAATGCTGTGTTCCAATTGTCCTCTTGTTAGACATATCTGTATTAGTAGCTTTACTGGAGAATCTTCTTGATGATCTTTTAACAACCTCATTTTCACCATCTATTTCTGCATCAGTAACAGTGTTAACACTAACATCTCTACAGTCACAAGTGCTTGTAACTGTGCTTGATTCTTTTGTAACTTTTTTAACAGTTTCTACATAAACATCAGAAGTATCAGGTTGAGCTTGAATTGCTATGGTTGTGTTACATGCTGACTCTTTTGACAATGGTGTATTGTCAATTTGAGCTGTATTTTCTTGTTTCTGTTCCTTTTGTTGTGATGCAATAATGTCATTATTTTTCTTTGGGTCAGTTGTTTTCGAAATTGGTACAAAGGCAGGTGCATCAGCTCTTATAGTCGAGTCAATTTCCTTCTTATGATCCACTTCAGATATTGCCTCAGCTCTCAGTCCACATGATACTGCTCTCTTCCTTGACCTAGGTTTAAATTCTGGTATTTTTGGATCAAGTTTTATATTAGATGGAATTGGGGTTGACATATGTCTTTTTCTTTGCAAATTTGCCCTATCTCTGTAAGACTGGTCTAGCTCAGCATCACTGTCAGTGGAAAATTCTGCCCTCTCTCTGGGATCCTGCACTATGATTCCACTTTGAGAAGCCTTAAACTTAAATGCATCCCCAACATCACTCTGTGAACCCTCAACACTGCTTATATCATTTACAGTTTTCAGAGACTGAGAGTTATTTGGAACCTCACCATTACCTACATCAGGCTCTTTCTCAGGACTTGAAATGGATATCCCATGTCTTGATGCAGTCACTTTAAAAAAGAATTTCTCAAAATCATCCGAATCATCTTTTCCCTTCTTCACATGTAGAATGTTTTCTTTAGCTTCATGAACAATATCTGATCTGATACCTACATTGTCCTCGATCAGAATATTATCTTGACTGTATTCGCTAAAATCATCTGCCATATTTTGCAATAATAATTCATGCTCTTCTATAACAACATCAGAACCTCCTTCAAAGAAATTGTTTATCTTTTTCGCTGCGTAATTATCATTAGTAGCCACATATTCATTGACAAGTGCTACTTCCGACTTTAATGAATCAACAGAATTCTTTCTGACATCAAGCTTGGGGCAATGACGTCTCTCCTGTTCTTCTGTTGCCAATGTTACATCACCATTAACCTCTTTCAATACACTTTCATTGCTGAGGTCCTCTACCAAAGTATTTGGATAACCTTCGCCAAGTTCACTTTCTGATTTTGACAACCAATTAAGCACATCACTGTTTTTCTTCATCACATTACTGCTGACATTTGAATTTTCCTCAAGTTTGTATGGAAACTGGAGAACTTTCTTAAGATCACTGGTATCACTTTCAGCTGCACTATTGTTGTTGTTGAGATTATCTTTAGAAGATGCTTCCGTTTCACTTTTGTCCATTTGTTTAACTTGACCGTTATCTACAACTTTTGGATGACTCAAACCAACATGTTTATTAACATAATAATCTACTAGATTTTGTATATCACTTTTACTGTTTTCATCTTCGCTATTTTTGATATCAATCCCTCTATCAGCTGATAATAACTTTGGAAAATTTGGACCAGAGGACGGTGAGATTACTGACTTAGTTGAATCGGCTGTCGTTGCAGTCACAGAATTTCTTACTTTAATACCATGTTGAGCAGAACTTTTCATGGACATGTCTGATGAAGTGTTCGATTTTTCTGTATTCAGTATTAAAAAATCATTAAAATAAAACGTTTTTCTAACAACACCATTAATCAATAATAATATGGTTTCTAATAAATTGAATATATAATTACAAATGTACATACCTAATATTCAAAATCTGATTGATATGTTCGTATGAGCATGAAGTATCTTAAGTCATTCTGCATCATTTAGCTTACAGTCATAGACTAGATATTGCATATGATTCTGTCACCTAAATTCTCCTACTAGACATGTAAAGATACATAAATTGATATGCTTGGTTTATATTTAATTAGAACAAAAATAATAATGTAGGGCCTTGTCCATTGAATATCAAATATCCATTATATCATCAATAATTCATATCCGATACATATCAATCAAATGTCACTTTTAAATTGATCAAGCTTAAAATTTATTTATTTCTGTTAGTAAATTATCTCTCAATTTTGCCTAATAAGAAAGTTCACTTTTTTCTCCGTTTTAACTTTGAAACTTTAAACTTTGTTTTCAATTGTCCCAAGTTGATCAAAATACAGAAAAAAGAACTTTCTGTTAGTTTTATAGTATTTTATAGTCTATACAAGCATGCTAACACCATGATTTCATTTACAACACATTTTAAAGGTTTTTCATTGGTATTTACGTTTAAAGGTCGATTAATATTGTTGATCTATTTGGTCCTCTTTGATATATCGATACAAAATTGTCCATCAATGAAACAGCCTAATTAATATGTACATCTTTATTTATTTACTGAGTATGTACATGTAGATGCATTGCATTGAGTTTTCAGAATTCCAAAAGTACCTGAAAATATGTTCCTGTACAATGTCAATGAAGAAAAAGCCAATGCTTCATCAATTGTTAGAAAATAAACCAGAAAACACTGTTAATATATGATGCTGTTTTTGTTGGATAGTTATCAAATCAAGTTTAAATTGAATTTTTGCACAAAATATTGGCGAGATGTAATTAAATAAAGCAGCTTGATGGACTGATGAATGGATAAACAGACGGACAGATGAAATAGCAACTATTTTAAAAATTCCTGTTGTAGCACAAAAATTGAATGTTGTGGTAATCTGCCAACAGTAGGGAATGTCACCTTGCCAAATTAAATGCTCGCAGGGATAACTAAACACTGACATGATTGCGTTAAAATATAGTTTAACTCTTACTCTGCTTTCTTCTTAAATACTTGCTCAATACAATTATACTGTTACTTTTCTCTTCTTTAAAATTAGAATTCATTTAGTAAATAATTATCTTAAGTGTTTTCAAGATTTTTGCTCTCAAAAATATAATTTAACATGGAAAAAGATGATATCATACAATGTCCTACCATTCTTAGATTTACTGCATAATGCTCTGCAAGTAATTTCAGACGAGAAGGTATCACAGTTGGGTAAAGCTGATTGGCAGGGGGCTACTGAAAACAGAAAATAAGTGACTGCAGTATAAGCTGTGTTGCCATTAAAAAAATTCTGAGAATGTGTGTTTTGAATTTTAGGCAGTCATTTTTGGTTTTATCACATACAACAAAAGTGCTTTCTAAGTTTTGAAGTTTTTAGAATGACAACCCTGAAAAGTTGAAGTGTTGAAAGTTATAAGGGCAAAATTTATATCATACAGGAAAAAGAACATCAAGTTTTCTGATGTTGAAAAGATTATGTAAAGAGATTCTAGTTTAAGAATTGTTTGAACTAATAACTGTTTTGTTATATTGGGAAGTTGCCCTGCTAGAAAAGTAGGTCTGCAAAAGTACTCTCATGTTTTAAATACTAAAGAGAAAATATTCTCCCATTTAGTGTAGATAATTATAAGATGCTGTCATAGTAACTTAATTCTAATACAATGTTGGTGGTGCTGTATGAGACTATAAGAATCATTTAAATAATAAAAAAATACCTTTCTTGGTGTTACAGGCAATCTGTAGGGTGATGGTGGTGACGCAGTACCGACCAACTGTGCTGCCACTGAGGAAGGTGGCATACTCAAAGTTTTCATGAGGATGATGAGGTATCAAAGGGGGTAAATTTGCAGGTAGGTATGCGGTGTCTGGTTGTTGGGCAGCGGACATATACTGCTGAGGGGGAGCGGGAGGGTAAATATTGCTTGACCTCGCTGTAATAATGAATTTATAGTCAATAAATCTATGAAAATATACTTTATTACATGGGTTTAAAAAAAGATGGGTTCAAAAACTAGTAACATTGGCCTAAGTATTTATAAATTTCAAACATATTTCTGCAATAGAAATTGTAAAACACGCCAGACATTAAATAAGAGCAACAACATATCTGACAAATAAGATTACTTAATAATTTTACATAATGTAATTCATAAAATGTCGATTGAGTATTCTTGTGGCATCTTTTTATTAACCATTAATTTCAACTAAATCATTTTATTCTTAAAGATCTTATATCTATTGAATACTTGTAGATTATAATTTTTAAATTATACTTATGTTAATACCGGGGGCACTTGGGTAAAAGGAGGGGGTATATTTTGTGACAAAACATCAATCCTTGAGGACTTGCAGTCTGAGGTGCCACTGACTGTAACTGGGCGTGATGCTGAATATACATCGACCTGAAATATTTGTAAAACATTAAAGCAATAACTTAAAAAGAAGAAATTTGTTCGTTCTATTTTAAGTTTGTAATTTCATTTCTTTATGTGAGCTTCAAAACAGTATTTTCACAAGTAGTAGAACTTCTTTTTGCCATCTTAAACAGCCAATGGAACTATCCAGCAACAGTAAACCTGTGTTGAGTGCATGGTGAAAAAATTATAAAGGAGAAACATTGACCAAATCAATCTTGCAACTACAGTTCAGACTGTATGAAGGACCCACTGAATTCAATGACTCCATTCTTATCTGACCTTGTTTCAGTCAGCCCAACATTTTCCTTATATAAAAGGACTTTTTATGTGTGTGTCAAGTTTACCTAAAGAATCTGATCCCTGTAATTTGTCTGTTTTAAAACCTTTCACACCATTAAATTGTACCTTAATCAGATAAAATATACCCATCTAAATACCCTAAGGGTGATTATTATATAAAGTCAGTTTGATAATTGTCCAATTGATACAGTGGCTCATCTTATTTTCTGTAAACAAACTCTACACAAGTATGCCTACCATTGCAAGACAGATTGCTGCAGCAGTGAAAACAGAGATCTTAAATGTTTAGACTACTACAGGTAAGTTACAAATTTGGTTGGTATATCTATACTCCACAATTAAAGACAATTTCATTGCTATGAATCTTAGTTCTGTCCATTGAATGGAGATACTATCAGGTCATTTTGGATTTGTTTCCACAGTTATTAAAATAATTATATTTTTCAAATACCAAACAAGGGTGCCATAGTCACAAAATACGCCCGTTTACGAAAGCTTTAGATGGAGATGGGGGCATTATGGATAAGTGTTATCTAGCAAGCAAGTTTTTATCCTTGGCACTGTGTTGTTAAATGAACCTTAAAACAAATCAGTAGGGAAGATAAAAAGTACATGTAATTGTAATTTAATAACTAAAAAATTCTGATTTAAGATTTTATTCTAGGGAAATACATTTCATTACAATTCTTAATCTTTGAATGAGCTGAACTGATATTTACTTGAAAATTAAAATATAATTAAATTTCTATGGGAAAGTATTTACATTTGATAAGGTAATTACTGTATGATCTTTATGAACAAATACTAAGTCTACAGAACACCATAGTTATCACAGTTAAGAATCTTGACCAATGAATGAAACATGTGTAAATAAATGTTACATTCTTTAGAACATACTCAAGTCCAAGAAAGAGGATTATTTTATGCCCTTTGATTAAATTCTATTTTTAGAATTGAAAGTGAAAGTAGATCAAGGGGAGTAATTGTGTAAGTCATTTATGAACAAAGTAATAACTTTGTTGTCCCCCTTTGATTAAATTCTATTTACAAAATCTGGATATTTCATCATCTTTAGTGACCTTGACCTTGTATATATTGACCTAAATTATATGTATCACAGCCATAGTATTGATAATGACCATTTGTGTTACAATCCCTCAATAAATGATGACTAAATGGTCCATATACACATCTTCATATTTTTATCTGAACTTTGACCTCTATGTGTGACCTTGACCTTGGCCGAAAGGACCTGAATCTTGCACGCGACACTCCGCCTCACAATGGTGAACATTTGTGCCAAGTAATATTGAAATCCCTCTATACATGTGGAAGTTTTGCTCCGGACAAGCATTTTTCAATGACCTCTAAGTGTGACCTTGACCTTTGACCTAGAGACCTGGTTCATGTGCGCGACACTGCTCCTCATAGTGGTGATCATTTCTATGAAGTTTCATTAAAATCCCTCCATACATGTAGGAGATATGCTCCGGACAAAATTGGACGCGCCCACCCCCCGCCAGGGGCGTTCCCATTATACGTCCCGTTTTTCAAACGGGCGTATAAAATATGTTAAAATGTATTGGCATAAAAATTTTAATATCAAAAGGTTTTAAAAATTTAACATTTTTTCAAGACTGTATTAGAGACACTTTATTAAGTAGAGTTGTGTATTGCTGCTGTAAATGTTCTTGTATCACAAAGTTACATTGTTTATTTCATTTTACGCCTTTTCCCAACAGTATTTCAGTCATATAGGCAGGTAGTTTCCTAGCCATCGTTCCTGGAGAGTTACACCAGTACTAGACTACCTTCCTCCATGCTAAACTACCAAAGCATCTCCCGGGGATGCCAGAGAGGTAACTGGATTAGAAGTCATTGACTCTAACCCCTCGACCAAGGAGGGGTCATACGAAGTTACATAAATGACAGGACTGACTGTACCTACCTCGGTGTATGGTTTGGACTATATACATTTTGAATTTGTTGTGCTCCAGGCATGTAACTATGGTAGACAGGTTGCTGCACAAATGATGACTGCATTACCATAGGGACTGCAGTATAAGCACTTTGCTGGTTTGAACCAAAGCTTCCTTGATTCATTTCTGTAAATACAAACAAAAATTCATGTTACATACCTTTTTATTTAGTTTTAAAAATGATATCAACTGGGAATGAGGTAGTTTACCTAACTAAATAAATTTTAACCCTATAACCCCCTATCTCATATACCGTACTTTCATGCCAAACTTTGTGATATTTTCATCACATTCGTTTTTTCGCCTATTTAACCATCCTAATGGGCCACCTTGGCCAACTGGTTTAGTCATTAATGTTGTTGACTTCAAACCACTTGTCTCTCACCATTGTAAGTTTAAGCCACAGCAGTGTCTTTGGATTCTGTCATGTGAGAAAGCAATGCAATGGTGCTTCTACTTGGGTTCCCATTTGTGCGCATGGCCTACATTTTTGCAGTAATGTAACATTATTTGCCACAATAACGATTCACCACAGAGCAAATACAATTTCCACAATTCCACAATTAAATGACAATTCGCCCCAATGCTAAAATACAAATTTTTTACACCCATTTCAAACTTTTGATGGTTTCCTTTTATTTTTTTCCATTTTAAATTTCCTTAGTTACTTATAGAAATTAATCATCAAACGAAAATTATAATAAAATCAGCTTTTATTTAAAAAATGCACATGTAAACCAAATTTACATAAATTGTAACACATTGTAACTTAACAAGGACAGACTGAATGCCAAAACATATTATTATATTTATTGCTAGTCAGATTAATAATTTACAGACAGACAGATAACTTTATTTCTCTTTTATGAACATATTGTTTAAATTTTATTTCCTTTTCCACGAGTTAATTTAAAGACCAGTCACACACAATTATTGCTTTAATCCTACTGTGGCGAATCATTATTCCACTGTGGTGAATTGTTATTGAATATTGTGGTGAATCACTACTAATTCATTTTCACGAGCCGATACATGGTAGCCATCAAAATAATACAGTAAAAACTCTGAAAACCGGACCCTCTCCAGACTTGACCAAATGTCCGGTTTTCAGAGGATTCCGATTTTCAGAGGTTTTATACATTTATTGATAATTATGATGTGTTTGAACAATGACTTTGTTAAAACATTTTGTACAGTCATGTATTTACTTTTTAACATTTTTGTCTAAGTCATATTTTAATTTCTTTTAACAATAAATGTCTTAAGTAATTTTATTATGCAAATCCATGAATATAATTCAGAAAATCAGAAATTTAAACAACACATTGTCTGAAATATATCTTGTTTTAATTGGCTTTTAAAATATGTAATTAATGGAATTTAGTATTACTACTTTTGCATATAATAAATATCTAAACAAAGATCAATTTTTTTAGCAAAACAGGAATCATTTTACAAAAGTTTCTAATTCTTTTAGACATTTTATATTTAAAGAAGAAAAAAACACACAACAAATTAAAAACATTTAGAAAAATCATACCTATACAGGGAAAGGCACAATTATAATGAAAGAGCTATGATTTAATTGCCAATAAGAAATTAACACACACAAGTGTTTTCACACCTGCATAGATAAAAAGGGTGATCATTAACTGGTAATTGAACATGTCACCTGTTGAGATTATGTTTTAATATACTTTAAAATACACAGAAAGTTGACACTTAAAATTGCTGTCCGGTTTTCAGAGGATTTTGTATGCATGTTTAGCATTAGAAGCCACAGAAAAGCGTCCGGTTTTCGGAATTCAGAGGTTCCGGTATTCAGAGGATTTTTTTCAATGAACATATAAGGAGAAAATACGGGACTTTTAATATGGTCCGGTTTTCAGAGGATTCCGGTTTTCAGAGGGTCCGGTTTTCAGAGTTTTCACTGTATATATTTTATCTGTTAGAGAGAATAATTTTACAGTAAAATTAAAGATTTCATTTGAATGATAGCGAGTGCCGAGAAGCAGCTATATTAGTGGATATCAAATTAGCTGAATGAAATTCTTCCCGATGTGATGAGAAAAATTACATGTGTAAAGTATAATTGTGTTATAATTGTTAGAATAATGACTACACAAAAACTGTCAGACCGACGGACATGACCAACATATTTCCACATGGTCAGATGACTTTCAGGTACAGTCGGTCTGACTAGCTGACAGGTTTTTCAGGGGCAAGGGAGGCTTAATATTATTGACGTATTCTTCAGTTGTTGCTAGCGAGATTACTCTTCCTTGAAAATCGTGTTATGTAAAAACTATTTTCATTAATGAAATTAATTAATTTCATTTCATATAAATAGACCTGCTCTTATCAATTTTAAACTATAATTTCCTTTTCACCTGATTTGTTTCCTCCCAAGTGATGCACAAATTAAGTCTCTAGCAGGGATTTGACTAAATGGTACAGGGTAGTCCAATATATCAGACGTAACGGGTTTATTGTAGTTTCTGTCGGTCAAGCCCGACGTTGCTTTGCCCAGAAGCAAAAATATCTTAAAGCAAGGTCAAATTTATAGGATTAGTAGAGGGCGAATGGTAGACAGTGAAGTTCGAAAGTTTTGAGTACGAAAAATTATATAAAAATGTATTCTTGTAATTCATTTCATTTACTGTAGTCTGAGAAAACAGACATTACAGTTCGTTTAACAGTTACCTGTATTTATTATTTGTTAAGTAGATCTTCACAAGTCATCTCATATTGTAAACAACAGAATGTCATGATCGAATATCAAGAGTGCTTTCCCTTTTCGCGCCTTTCGCAGAAAACATTTTATTTTGATCCCCTTGGATTTTATCGTTATTTCTTCTCAGCAGGGTTCTATTCGCTGAAAATGTTAAATGTTTCAAGTCTAGCACGGCTTTAATTAAATAAATGTAACTAAAGCCGTGGTTATAGTAAGAAATAACAAAGACAGTCCTTAGCATGTACATTTATGTAATCAATGCATTATCGATACTGTAATTATTAAATAATAAAAAGTAGATCTAGATCTAAGAAAATTTGATTTTTATCATTAATAACTCATTGAAAATATGGTAAGCCACGGATTTATATTACATATGTAATATAAATCCGTGGGTAAGCACTGAGCAGTGTGTTCATTATTGCTGAAGTAAGTTTTATCACAGATCTTGAAGAATTGTTTGAACTTTTTAAATCAAATTACATACTGTATCAGTCATTTTTTTTAAACTTATCTTTAAATAATTGTTTGCATACACTATTATAAAATAGATAAAACAGTCTCGTGTCGCTTATTTATTTTTTTTTCCATTATACATTAAACTGGTTTTTATCTTGCATGCACACAATCTCATATCCAAAGACAAATAATAAAATGAATTTTAAGAATAAGAATTCCATAGCATTGCAATATTGTCTCTGTTTCTCTCTTTCCTTTCTCAGAACTCAAAGTTAAAAAAGTATAAGATAAAACACATGTATATGCAAAACATAGAATATTTCTTTAAATCTTATACAAATGTGAAAAAAAGATACGAATGCATGGCGTATTGGAAAAAAGGTTATCTACATGTACTGCAACAGGAAATAAAATAAACTTGAAATAATTAGATTTGATTGTTTGATATTTTAAGCATTTTCTGTAATAAAAAACATCGATGTCCTCTTAAAGCTGTACACTAACTCACAGATAGGCGGTTTTACAAACCTTTTTAACATTTAATGAACCCCATCATTTGCAAATATACTAAGTTGTTTTTCTTTACATGGGACTTTAAGAAATGCCAAAAAAATGCCTTATTATTTTATTTAATTTTGGTCCAGCCTATGTCCAAAAGATTTAGATAAGACATCTTTCTCTCTTGTTATAAAAATTATTTATTGAAAAATAAAAATTATATTGAAAAATAGCACTTACCTGTTCATTTCCGTAGAAGTTTTATTTTCTTCATGAAGTTTTGGGGCCAAAATAGGGTGCCATTCACAAAGCCAAAAAAAAATAAATTCACAATCATTTATTGTCAAAAAGTAGCTATTGACAAATTGTTAATGACCTAAAACATGATTAACAGTCACTTTTAACTATAGAACTTTATCTAAAAAGATGTTTATCACTAATAAAGCCCATTTCATAGAACGGAGAAAAGCACTGCCAAATATATGCGTGTGTACCATATGATCTATGAGAACTGCATATACAGATATAAAAAAAATGATCCGTCAACTTTAGGGCCATTAGATAAGGACACAGAGGGCCAATTAGTGACGTCAATTAAAAGTGATTTTCTAGCTGATAAGCACTTACCGGAATTCAGCAAATTAGTGATGGCCAGACCCTCAACTCAGTGGGAGATATACAGTTGAAAGTGATTTATTGGCTGATAAGCTTCAGCAGATCTTATGGGTAAATGCGTAGGGTGTTTTTCTATGATATTTCAAAGCCTCCCAGTGTAGAACGTTTGCTATACATGAATAATAACACGTGCGATTTACCCGTGCAGATGGCTCCTCTGCAACTGGTGGTTAGACTCTCATTGCAGACCGTTGACGAACTTACACAAATAATCACATGAATATATTTTATTGGATTGGATGAAATCAAAGCAATCTTTATTGATGTGGATCGCTTCCATCTACAAAGAAATCAGTCGATATATTACTTGCCTGGGCATTTTTCCAGCTAGTACGTTTTAACCAGTCAATGTATTCCCTTCTATAAAATAACAGTTCAAAAGCTTCATTGGTAGCAAAACGTTTTTGTGAACTGGTCATTTTATCCAGAGATATAACCCGATATAAACTCGTACAGTACGTGAAGGCATTCAGAATCTAAAGCAATCCGAATCACATCATTTTATTTCTTTATAATTCCACACTATACGGACAAAATAATTTATTTAAAAATGTAATTTTTCCTTTGACAGAATAATCAATCTATATAAGTTTTAAAAATCAGTACTAAGTGTGTGCAAGAAAATATATGTTCCGAGATTTCCAATGACAAGTTATACGGATAACTTTTGTTGTCACATCGTCGGATACCCACGGCCGAACCATTAACATTTACCATGATTACATGTTAATCAACCATGGGTATACGACGATGTCGTTCTCATTAAGGGGTTAATATTTTCAAATGATATTTGCTGTAGTCATTGTATAATGTTTGAAAAATATTGTTAAATAATCAGTTTGAAATGTTCATGTTGTTTTCTATTTTTCCTGCATGCCACGATTTTCAAGTAGAATAAGCAGTGTGGAAATATATTGATTTTAAGGACAAAATACAAATGCTGTAGCCAAAAAAGGCATAAAATATCGTGCAAAAAATAACGCTTTCCATAAAGTGATTGGGATTGCCTACACTAACCATACTCTCATACTTTAAGGCTTATAAATTCAGATTGAATTTTGACCGCCGGTTCCTTTATTTGAAACCAAATCCATATATGGTTTGTTTGAATATTTGTCAGATTTCGTGAACAGAATCGTTTGCGACATTTTCCCCCCATTCGCACACACCATAACCAACGGTGGAAAGAATACGTTCACGAAGGCTGCATGAAAAATCGACACAAAAATTAGTCAATATGGAGGAAAGTCAGGTGGGTAAATTTACATTTGGATCAGCGGAAATTCATATACGTTCAGTTCCTAAGGAATAATCATGGATATATGGAAAAAATATGAAACATGTTAAACATTTATAAACGGCATTTTGTTACCTATATAACATAAATTCAATTTACTATAAGATATACATGTATAAACACCAAATGACCACATAAATTTAAATAAAAAGACCGTTAAACAGTCAATTTAATACTTTTTTTTGGCATTATATAAGACATACATATACATTTCGAGTGCACGACAACAGAAAAGACTATAGTTACATCATGTTTATTCGATAATATCACTTGTCTAACACAATTTTTTTCTTGTATTTATTTATTTAAGTCTCATCTATGTATGTACACGCAGTTTATACAAACAATATCATAAAACATGAACACAGCCATTCTATATAAGAATTACAAGAGACAAGCGAATCGTTCATATATGAAACTATATACTTGTCACTAAAATCAAATACATTTAAAAAATGTAAAAATAATTACCAGTGCAGTTGATTATCATCAAACAAAAACATGTCATACATAAACAACAACAATATCATCATCAACAAGCATATTAATTGAACATTAATTAGCACAGTGAATAAATTATACAAAAATAAAAACAACACAAAAACAAACTAGGTCGGTAAATTACAATACATCTGCATAAAAAACAACTTATGGTTGACATAAGTGCTAAAATATACCCTTTTATAATTGAACAAAAAAGCATGGTATTTTGTTACTTGAAATTAAAATAAAATAGAGAGCTAATAATAGTATCATAATGTATGAACTTAAGGTTCTAGGCATTTCTTACCACAATTTTTATAAAAATATTCACATGTATTCAAATGTATAAAAAATGTAACATTCAAATGTATTCATATGCATAACAATGTAAGTTTAATGACTGTAGAACATATTTCAAAATATATTTTACATCATACTACTACCTATAAAAAGAGACATTGTAAAGCACACAGAGGATGTATAAAAAGTGAATGTATATATTGATAATGAAGATATATGTATAAAATCAATTAAAAATATCATGTTATTATATGAACTCACATTACAAATATCAAGAATTAAAATATCATGTAGAAAACATTATGTGATAAAAAATCCAACGAAAAAAAACCCACTAATAATCTATTTGAATGAGAATATTACCGGAGGTCCGAGCGTTGATGCATGCTTTGTACCGGTGCACATTAAAAAAAAATACCTATAAATATTTGTATTTAATATTTATTTATAAATCTATCTGTAACCTCTGTACTGTATATTGCACTATCCTCCGAAGATTTGATTTACCCTTCACCCGCTCTTTATAGTTGTACAAGAAGTCTACACTAAATAGGTTTTGTGCATGGAATACAGTCATGACTATTAATGTATGCACGTGTACATGTTTAAACATTGTGATATTTATCAAATACAATCCCCCCCATAAATAAAAAATAGCTGACGACAGCAGCAATATCTGTAGTGTACCCACCTTCGCCTGTGTGGGTTCGAATCTCGCCAGTGATGTTCAATCGCTTTATTTTAATAGCTAGTTTACAAAATAGAAGATTGGTTCTACCTAAGTGACTGCTCGTGACCCATAATTAATACACAGAAGGACCGGCGCCTGGTGTTGTCATCTCGGCGTCTGTTGACATCTAGGCACCTGCATGGTGTTTTTATCTTGGTGACTGGTGTTTTAACAAGCAGGAAACACGGCAATAATGCAATGTCAATACAGTTAGTTATAAACTAAAATACTTTAAAATTGTTATGGTATACATTCAAAATACGAGTACATGTATACAGTAGCACCTGAAGAAATAGATTTTTCAAAGTTAAAACTGCTGTTTTGTAAAATGTAAAAGTTGTTACATTTGACTATATAAAGAAATATATATATAAAAAGATAAATGATCAAAACTAGTTGACATGGAAACGGTCTAGCATTAACATGTACTCTTAAAACATAATTATACAAAAATCATAATATCACAATATCAATACAAAATCACCGTACATGTATATAATAAACAAATATACTCGTATATCACTTTAAGATATCATCTAAAATGTCTTAATTAAAATAAAAAATGTCAAATTAATTAATAATACAATTACCATAAAAGTACATGAAGTTAAATTACTGTCCAGAAATGGTAACAGATTGAGACATGTAAATTGTACATGAAATGGTAATTAACTGTCTGTGGTGTTTTTCCTCCTTTTGACAATTAATTTATAAACCACTATCATTTAGGCCGCCCATGAGAAAACCAACATAGTGCAGAAAATGACGTCACCCAGAAAACGTTATTTAAATCTGACGTCAAATTATGCACGTTTTTATGTTAATTTACCGCGTACACTATTCCTACTTTCCAAAGTCGTCTCACTCTTTATCTTTGGTGCGTTGTGATATTTTATCGACGCAGGACAGAACTTCCCGAAATACATGTACATGTATTAATAAAACGTTTTCATCAAACCATTATATTACGTAACATTTATATTATTGGTAGCTATACTTAAATTTACGAACTGAAACGCCATGCCCGCCTGCTCTCGTGATGTTGTGATTTTTTATAAATCCATCAAGTGTTTGTTTATTTGCGACAACTTTGCTTATTTTATAATAAATATTTATTTTAGGATATTTGTATCTATTAATATAGGAAGATCGACATTCACAATTAAGTTATTTTAATGCTAAGTACTTTATAAATGTTAAACATGTACGCCGTTTGGCAATAAAACACATAGTGTCTGCATCTCATTTATTTATTTATATATTATTTGAAATAATTGTTTAGCTGATATTCCAGTGGTAAGATATAAAGCAGACTGAGAGCTACAGTTACTTACAATAGCAAAAATGCAAGCGTTGTGAGTACGTTTAAAAATTTAAATAAGATATGTTCGCAAACGACTTTCAAGAACACCTTTTGGAAAATGAAGAAGCGTTTGAATAAGCATTTATAGCTGCATATAGTAAGTCATGAAAATTGTGATTGTAAAAACATATCCACACATCCATGTATAAGAAATTAATTTAGTCGACTTTGCTATATGAGAAATAACAGAATGACAAGGAACAATTGATTATGACTATAGTCAACTCAGTAAAATAGATAGAAACAACACTTGTGGGGTCTTAGAAAGCGCCTATCATGTACTCGCCGCGGGAAAATACATGCCAGTTTATTTAAGCTGATTTGCGCAATAAATACAGAAAAAATTAAAAATGGTACCATAGTAAGTGGGAATTATGTTCTTTCATAAAATTGTAAAAAGTAAAAAAAAAAGAAGAAATTTGTGCACTAGTGGTATGTTGGTTTCCTCATGGGGTCAGAATGCTGTGTAAAATGTTTTGTGAGAGGAAATATTGTTAAACAGAACTTCAATATCTGAGCATTTCTCAGCACCAGTGTACAATAAATTTAATGAGCACTTTATCCGATTAAGATACTTCCGTTCATCTGTCCGACTGTCTTATCTATAAACGTTTTCCATTTCTCCTCCCAATCTTTCAATGCTTGAACTTTTTTCTTATCTTCAAGTGCACTATATCTGAAATTACAGGTAATTTAATGGCAATGAACAATTAACTAAGCAAAAAATCCCCTTAATTTTGAGTGCATTATAATAATTGTGTAAAAATTCAGTATGGAGTTCAGGTGCATTGTATTATAATCAGGTAGGCCTAGATTAAAAACCTTTTTAAATGTATAAAGCTATATATACATATATATGTTCACAAAATTATTTTAACAATGTTTTCATAGGAATCTGAAATGAAAGCAATATGTTTGTAAATTCACGTAAGAGACAATGGCCCATGCACGAAATTTTTGCTAAACGGTAAAACCTCTGCTTGATGTAGCAACACATTTTTTTGTTCCGGGACATTTTATTCTGTTCATGCATTTATTCTGTTTTTGAATTTGTTGGTTTGAAATATAGTTGTAAATCAAATACTTCTTTGAAAATGATGTAAAGGACAACCAATTACATTATATAATTATGATACCTACTGAAACTCATGAACCAACATGTACTTACATTAGCGAATTCATAGCAAGTTGTTTTAGAACTTCTAGTCCGTCGTCTTTGCCTGACAATGCCATAAAAGCAGCGTAGAAATCATAGGAAAGTCCCTTTGCTCCCCACACAGCCGGGTCATCTGAACTTATAACAACCGGAAGTCCTTCAGCTAATAACACCGAACCCGGGTGATTCTGCATGTCGTCCACAAGCTTTAAAACCTGAAACAAATCACAACAGAACTATTTCAAGTCTTCGAGGTGCTCACAATTGCGTCATCATTCACAGAGAAATTACGCAATAAAAAATATTCCGTGAAGGTATGGCGATCGAGCTATTGGTTCCTAAAACAGGTCCTTGTTTTGTTATCATTTAAGTTATTTGAATCTAGTTTTAACTACCTATAATTGAATTCAGTGGTTAATGAAGTATATTGAAAATATATAACGGAATAATGACCATATTCGCAAAGAATAGAAAAAAGATCTTACTTGGTTAGATATTGGATTAACCTCGATAGCAATATCTTGCTGCCGAACTATTTTCATAACTTCTGGATGTTTCGGTAAAGCATAACCATGTCCTATTCTTGAAGTGTTCAACAATACTGCATCTATCAGATTATCATCTACTCTCGTGCCCTGCCAATCTGTAAATTTAAAATGAATAAGTTTAAATCATAAAAAAATGGGTGATGAATCGCAAATTGATGTTCATGAAAGTATGAATATGACGTATTATGAGTACATACATGAATGTATTAATTTGCGCTCGGTAATGAAAATAGGTTATTGTAACTTCTGGTCTGCTTCTTGGAACTTAAAAGTACTGGTGTCCTATGGTGTAACAGGGACGTGACAAAGGTAGCAACATGTACCAAGTGACAGATAAAAATAAATTTTACGTACATCAAATCACATGTTTAAAAATAATTTGAAACCTTAACAGATTCTGAGATATTTTAACACAAACTATAGTGAGTTTGTTTCTCCTTGGAATGTGTGATTTTTTCATGACATAATTAATAAAATAGGCTGATAGATTTTCTTTTCAGTTGTCCGTTTGTCGTACTTTAATTTCAGCAAGACTGGGCACCTTGTGGAATGCCATAACAATATAAAGATTGTTATATGACCACTGCAATATGGAATGACTTAAGTTGATGAAGACATTTGTAATTACCAGTTTCTCCAGCGTGAAAGAAGTACGGCAGTTTTATAGGTGGACTTTGTAGAGAGGGATATCTCAACGCGTCTATATAATACAACAGTGTCTTGCCCGGATCTTCCTGACCAACCAGGTCATATCCAGCAAAATGATCTGGGAACTGCTGCATTAATTGTATTGAATTTTTAATATCATCTAGAATATCATCTGGAGATTTAAACCTGAAATAAAGAATGAGTTTTCATTTGAGATAAGGGAGATGGATATGATACTTGTCGCCACCAGACGTACTTGAATATTGTTCTGTTAAGGTTTTCCAAGCGTATACAATGTAATGCAACTTCTCTAAAAAAGAGTTTATTAGTCAGCCTCCACACACCCGCCTGCACCCTTTTAAGCGCTCGAAATTCACCTAAAATATGTTTTCTTAAACTATTTGTAAAAAGTAATGAAATTATTTACAACCTAAAATTGATTCATGTTTATAGAATTCAATAAAATAAAACGACTGGGGTGTAACGTTTCGTAATAATCACTTACGACGTCATCACTTACGACGACGAGACATTTCATTTTTTTATTTACATAACTTAAAATAAATAAAAACAAAATAATCCAAAACAAGTGGTATTAGTAGTATAATAGCAAATCTGATTAAAATCAACTTCTAAATAACGCTACGCCTTTAGAAATGGTTAAATACTTACCGAAGATTTGTCTTTATAATTTTTGCTCCAGTAAAGTTTTTATTTGTAGCTAGGAACCTGTCTGTTGTATCTTTGTAAATCTGCATGACTTGCTGGGTGTTAAGCGTGGAACCATCCAGTTCGTATACCTAAAACGATATGACATGATACAACATATTCATACATACATTGTATGAACAAATATAGTCGCCGGTTTTAACCGGCGACTAATAAAACATGAATCCTTAATCAAGAAATATAGGTATCTTGGCAGCATGTGAAAATAAGAGTACATGTATTCCGGGAATCGAAATCTCATGTGGAAACGTTACGCCATGTATACATGAAAGAACAACTTAGTACTTCTAGAAAATATTCCTACTTAAGAATCTATATTACCCTATGAAATAATTTTAAAAGTTTTAATAACTATCTTCCGTATTCGTATTCATTCAAAATAATTAGGCTTGATGTAAAACTAAGGGTTTCGAACATTATTCATTATAAATCATTAGAACTGTTGAATGTCATACACTGACCCGGATGCCAGTATTTTTAGTGGTTTCACATACCTCAGGAAGAAGTGCTCGGACCTCCACATACTGGACATTATCTTCATTGAATTCCCGTAGTGCTTCATAATAATAGTCGCTAAATACAGGTTTATAGTTGATCAGACCGTTAGCCCGAGTAAGTATTCCCTCAAACCTTTGCCATATAGTGTTAATGTCTAAGTCTGCATATTCGCCAGTAAGGATCATAGACTTAATCAACCTATTACATCAGATTAAGGAAAACAAAATAAATACATGTTAGGGTTAAAATCTATACTATAATTGTACTTCATGCAAACATGTTTTATTATTTGAAGAAATAATTTTATTTAAGCAAATTTGTATATTCCTTTTGCTTTACAGTACAAGTAATCATAGTACAACAGCCATGAAGTCTACGTAGATGATTATCCGGTGAAAATATATGCTAGAGTTATGGGTCTTGGTAAGTGACACATAATATATATGAGTTTTCCGTTATAACACCTTTAAATGTTGTGCAAAGTAGAAATGCACGCAAAAAAAGTTTACCGAAGACTTTCAAAATTCGCAAAAGGGTAGATCTATAATTAAATAATAATTCCTGCTGGGGTTAAGGCTTTGGCTGTGACCAAACGCTATGACTCCAAAGACATATGGCTAATGAAACAAAAAGCATCAAGCAAGTGTTCAGTCAATCAACCCCAAAGTTCTTAATTGAGCTAATAACATAGAAATGCACATTTATTTTCCGAACAACGACTGGAAAAATGGGTTCTTTTTCGTAAAAAGATCATTTCATTATAACACAATACAGTCATATAAATATTAAGTATTTTCTTATTAACTTACGTATCATCAAAATGAGATACATTTCCCGACTGTTGTCTGTACTGACCAACTGGTTTCCATGGGCAATCTGAAGTTATTAAATCAACAAGAAGACTATATCGCAGTCACTACTTATATGGGCAATTATAAGTTTTCAAACTTGACTGTGGAAGTTTTTGCTAAGCAAATTGAAATTGACTGAAATGCCTTGAAAAAATTTGTAATGTTTTCTATTTTGTGTACAGTACTTATATCTACCATTGTAATATTACGGAACTGTTTCTGTCTTAAATAAGAGCTACCCATTCAAGTATTAATGGAATAAAACTAACATGTAATGGTCAAGGTAAAATGTATCAGGTTAAACTGATATCATTACAACATTTAAAGCCAAATGTTCGTGTTTAACTTGTAACGGTATGCGACAAGTATACAATTTTTTGAGCCCATCATCAGTCTTGATTACAATATATTAAAGCGTATTACAAGTCTTAGTGACCTAATTTGCACGCGGAACGTTAAAGTAATGTATGTATTTTTGTACATATCTATATACCTTTGTTAACTGGTGGTGTTTGAAAGAACTGAAATGATATTTCATTTTTGAGATCGTAACACATGTAACAGTTATCTCTATACGTGACATTCTTTACCAACCACTTGATGTCTGAGATGGAGCAGTCATGTACGTGTAGTGCGCCGCCTGAAATAGGAATAAACAATTAATTATAAATATCCATCTTCATGATGACTGAAAGTCTGCTGGGTAAAAATCCAAGAAGAAAACGTTAACAATTTCAGGAGGTTACCTCAATGATGATGACCCACTACATTTTATTCTTTTATATTCATTATGATTAATTAAATTGACTCTGTAACTGGGGTAAAGTTCGTTTATCTACCAAGTAGATTCTTTATTAAGTAGATTCTTTATTATTTCACATAACAACTTATACACTTGTTATATGAAATTTACATGTGTAACATGAGCTCGACTGATGACTAATAATGAAAACATAATACTAGTATTGCACATTGTTGTACAGATAAATACCAGAGAGATGAAATGGCGATGCATAATTGACTGCACAGGTGTTATGATATTATGATATATTATTTTGTGCATATAACCATACTCTGTCATTGTGAACTATCGGGTATCAATATATCTGTTCAACAGATATCGTTCTGATAAAATACCGATAAAATCAATCAAGTTCGATATATCTCATTTGGTGTGAGCTGGGAAGACGGATATTGATTTTTTAGTATAAATGTTTACACAAACGCAAGGTTATTTATCTTTATAACATACAATATATGCACCGAGTCAGTTGCCGGAAAGATTTCAGTCAAAATGAAACTGTGTGAATATTGAAAAGGCTAAGTAATATTTGATAAAAAAAAATCGTGTTGCTCTATATATCTTTGTACATGTATATATTGACTGAATATAAAACTATGACCATGTCACGCGATAAAGAAACAAAGATACACAATATAGCCATTTGCTGACTTGTTTAATTAGAACACTAGCTAGTATTGGTGGCAGATAAAACATAAAGCAACAAGTGAACTCATATCTGAAAACTTCGATCAGTAACCCAGATTTAGTGTAATATTGTAAATTTGACATTTTTGATCTTGTTAAAGCAGGCACATCAATGATTAAGACAATCATTATGACTAATTTAATGGTATATAAAATTATAACAAGGAAACTTTTTTACATGCAATTATAATATGAAGTTTAAAAAACACAAACAATAAATTCAAAGCGTCAGTTATATTTTACACAAGAAATGTATTGACTGAACTTTGACATTAAAATTTAAATTGTAACGTATCATCCTACCTTTTGGCATCGTTTGTATCAACTTGAAAATTTGGCTTTCCTCATAAACAGACTTTGATTTTAAGAAGTTCATAGCAGGACCAAACGGTTTCCCTTGGTAATGTGCATTGTCTATTTCAGTTTGTTTTAGTTTTAACAATTTGTCATTCACGGCCTGTTCATCTTTATTCAAAACTATTTCACCTCCGAGTCTTTGATCCTGCTCGTCTGAAATGATGTGTTGTCGTTTCTGCATGTAGTCATCTTTATATAAGGCACTGGTCAACTTTCTTGCCATAGAAAACTGAGAAACTGGTGTTGACACAACATTTTTCAATGAAACAGCCAAAAGGAACACAACAGAATACCTCCGTATGACCCTGTACACATCCATGACCGCAAGATATAAATCACACAACAAGAAAAACAACCAAACACCCTGTTAGTTTCATGTGACAGTCCAAAACTGAAACCAAAAGTCAATACACAAACAGCTGTCAAAGTCGACTTCCGTTTATAGTTTGTTTCCAAAATATCAAATAAATAAATGACTGTATCAAATCAGGTATAAATTCATGCTAAACTAAATGTGTTTCCTTTTGGATGGCTATTTATATATCTATTTCAAACAATGAATGCATAAAATACTTGTAACTTTATTCTTGTTTTTCATTAATAAAAGTCTCTGTTATTACACAATGTTGGCAATATTTTGAACAGACTATATGTGTGGTAAGTGTAAAGGTCGTGCCAAAACTGTTACAATATATTTCATTGGCTAACATAATTCATTGTTCCTAAAATTGAACCAATCAAAATACTCCTTTTATTACACACATCAGCATCTCCAAAATAGTAAACAAGAACTCAAAGACGTGGCAAAGCTCATGTTCAGAAGAACTGCGTCAATATTAGCAAACAATACCTATTATTTACACTGATCGCATCGAGGTATGATAGTTTACTTATATTTAACTACTTTTTCATATAAAATAGAAAGTAAAACGCTATAAATTATCTGATTATCTGTAAATAAAAGCTACTGTTTAGAAATTAGACTGGCTTTATTCTGTTATTGAGAAAAGTAAAGATAAGTCGTTTATTTTACAAAAGTATCAAAAATATGCTTAAAAATATCTAAGCCATCCTCCCAGCAGAGACTTTTATTGTTATGATCTATAAAGCTCCATGCTTCTATATATAGCAGGAACTTGAAATTCTATCAAGATTCAAATTTATAACCAATAATGGCAATATTACACGATAGTTAATATCCAAAAATAACCCCTATATAATGATATGATAGAATTTCCTGTGTAATGTCAGCCTACTATCTTTGGGTGCCCTAAATTCAACTAAACAACATCATTACTTGGATGTCAGAAAGTATTAGTTTGTTAAGAGATGTTTTTAAACATCAAAGTTAATGCCTAATTTCTTCAAAATAGAACACTTGGATCATTTGATATAGTGTATGACTATCAAATTAGCACTGTAAATGTTTAGGGTAACGAATCATGGCCTCCCGTGGATATACATGTATAAAGATTTAGTAGACCAATTATCATAGGAGAATAGCCATCCAGTTAGCTCAATAGGTAGAGCGTTGGACTGTGAATTGGGTGACCCCAGTTTGATTCCATGAAGGTGCAGGTCACTTTCTTTGTGATTGATCATGAAATCCTTTCTTTGGTCATTTGCACTGTACCTCTTCTCTCGCATGTACAGAAGTTTCAGTTCCTGCAAAAGTGAAGGCCTTTAATACTGGTAAACTGCTTGACAGCTTGCCCTCTGGTAGAATAATTTACATGTTTTTAAATTTTTTGGGCATTTTTAAAACTTCTTTAAAGTTTTGTCTATGATGTACAAATTGTAGATAACATGGCAGTGTACAATGAACATATTGGTAAATTTTCTTGTGTCAAGCATGGTCTCAGAAAATCTTGCAAAAATATTAACTCGACGGATAATAAATCCCTGATACAAATTATAAATGTACAACAGTACAGATTTTAAATTTTAAATGTATGGCATCATACAGCTTTCTCTCCATTTAAAAGTAGCTCTGTGGTACAATCAATTATGACCATAGCTTGGAGGTGCTTTGTCTGAAAAACTGTGTTTAATTGATCATTCCTTAATTTAATTGATTAATTGATTGATTGATGATGACCAAATTTCTTTGTCTTCATAGGTTTTGAATTAAACCAGTGATCTTCAGTATGGCTAGTCTCTACCAGACAGTGAAAGCATGTATCGTAAAGGTGAGTTCATTTATCAAGTAAAAATTGTTAAATCTAGAAATTTACAACCAGTGTTTTAAATACATGATTCAATTCAACTGTGAAAGGTTGGGCACTTACAACAAGGTGTCTTTTTTTGATAGAAGAAAACCATTGGCCTCTCTATATAGTTAGTTCAGTGTATATTTGGTATAATCTAGCTTATCTTTGGTATATACAAACTTCTACAGTTTAACTTTGTAGTGTGTTGCACTAATAAATGGTAAATATATTGAAAATATGTGAAACGCTTTGATCACTATTGTGAACAGTATATTGTGAATGGTAGTGCACTGCGTTTAACAGTTTGAGTTAACATCTGTTGAATTCAATGTTTTTAGTCCTTGTTTATCTTATGTGTTGGCTAGTGATTGTCTACATGTAAACACATTCTGGTCACTTAAAACCAGGAACAATGTTACTTCAAAATGCCTATCATAGTATGTCCATTTATTTAGTGATTGTATAGTCTAGTATTCTTCTTTTCTATGTATTGTAATTTTAAATTGCTCTCTGATTGTGTCACTAAATTCACCACATCACTTTTACTATTCTGAGTTCCTAACCTAGCAAGAAGCCAGTGACATAGTATTCTTTTATGTGAGGTAGTCTGCAGAAAGTCTGTGTGTTTTATGGTGTTTCTTGAAGTTGACATTGGAAAAGGGCAAATAACATCTTCCTCCACCAGTATTGCTTGTAGTAATTTGGTACAATTTTTTAACAATTCCATGCATTTGATTATGATAAAAATTTCAATTCCTCATGACGAATCTCAATCAAAGTAAGTAAATTCTCAATCAATAGTGCTTTCTGAATATGAAATGTCACATATTTATACAGGTACTGTTACTAAATCATCACTTTTATTTGCAGACACCACCATCAGAGCAAGTAGAGTTTGTTACTAAAGAAACAGAGGAAAGGGTAGATAACCCAGAGTTTGTGAAGGAAACTGATGCTCAAGATTTCTTATCCAATAAAAAAACAGATGAACAGTCAGGTATAATTGTTTATTCAAGTATAACCCCAAAAAAAGAATAAAGGAAAGAAAACTTGTTACTCATTTATCTATTCTATTGTTTTATCTGATGAATTGGAACAGAAATTTATTGAAAATACTCTTTACTGTAGCTCTTTCAGTAAGTAATATGGAGAATTAAGTTGGCAGTGGTAAAGGTATAAAATAGTTAATGATATAAAATACATGAGATTGTTCTGGTATAGAATATACAAAATAGTTCTGGTACAGAATATAATGGATAGTTCTAGTAAAGAGTACAGGTTTTGTTAACAGTCAATTTCTCTCCAGTTTGAATGATTAGTACTGTTCACTGTACCAGATTTTGAAAATGTATATCCAATGTGAAAAAATGTCAAATGAAAGATAACTGGTTGCATAGGTTTAAAGTAGTAATTTATGTACTTTTATAATGTATTGAACTATACTGTTGTCTGTCAAAATCATCATATGATTTTTGAAACAATTCCTTTTTAAACCCTTGATCTTCATTGATATAATGCTTAAAACATATCTGTTACTACTTCTAATTGCCAATTATGTAAGTTTTGAAGAATAATCTTTGATTGCAGAACAAAAAGCACAAGCAGGAGTGATATGGAGGGTGTCTAGTGGCCTTGGTTCTGGTTTATACAATGTTACAACAGGAGCTGTCGGCTATGGAGTGGGTAGTGTAAAATGGGTTGCTGGGAAAAGTTACGATGTTGGTACCGCAGTAGCAAGTCATGTAAAAGTGCCTTCAGTGCCGCTGCTGTCAAAGAAAAAAGATAAAAAGGAGTAGCATGATTTTGTTCATATGATAGTTTTGTAAGACTTGTTTTGATTGGTCAGTTTGTGATATATGATGAAATCCTGTATTCTTAAGCTCATTTAAATGGTGTGGTGCAATGTCTCGACAGAAAGTTAAAGCTGGACTACTTTTTATACAGAGACGATTATGAAGAATTGTGTTCATGGCTTTCTTGTTGCAGTAGTGGTAGTATGAAGTGGATACATTGAGCTGAATGTGCTAATTTGGACAGGGTGTTAGAATGGAGATGTGGTGTGATACGTCACCTGTTGATAAAATGTTGTAAAATTTACATGTTTGTGTTTAATGAAAACTTTAAGCATGTATTAGTTTTTATATGTACAAAAAATTGTTATGTTTGATATATTGTATGTGTTTGGAAAAAGCAATATGTTGTATACACATAAATATTAATATGGTGATCAACCAATCATTTCTCCCATTTGATCTGATTCAGCCAATAGGATAGGAGATATATTGTAAGGTTATATTTATGAAATGTCAAGAATTTATTTTTTAATTTTTTTTTTGTCACAGAAGTGATAATCATGTAATATGCATTTAAAGAATATTATAAAGTGTATTCCGGTGCTTTATTGTGTTATGAGGGCAGGGTTATATATTCAATGATTTCTCTTTTGGTATAATGAAACAAATAATAGTCGAAGTATTTGGAAAATCATTTTTTTAAAGTCTTTTTGTGATTGTTTAGGCAGAAAGTTTCAAATGGGTGGAGGTAAATTTTTATGTCAAGTCTTGGTACTGGAAGTTATTCAGGATTTAAAGACTCAACAAAAATCAGAGATATATTTTACAAAAATTATTATAAGGCATTGATAATACTTGATTGATGATTTTATTGTCAAATAAATTCATGCATTTGTCTTTTTAAGTTTAATGGTTAGAAGGAGTCAACAGTTTTCCATTTTAGTCAATGTATAGTATTTAAGTATATGTTATATTATATATAATTTTGTTCCTTTAACTGGTCACTTTTTTGTCATAAAGATGAGAATTAAAGTTTTTGTATGACAGGTATATTTTTTATGAAGTTATAAATGTATATGTTTTACAAATTATAAAGAATTTTCTTTGAATAAGTTGCTGTAGATAAATTAGGCTTGCTGGATTTAGTTTAACGTGGTAGTACAAATGCAAATTGTAATCATATCAAATTATAAGTTAACTTGTTGGTCGAATCCACTTTTTTCACTTAGAAATATTTTTATATTAGTAAAAATAGTATTCTATAATTATGTAGCAGTATTTTATTGTGTTATGTATTGTTTACACTTGTAGTGTGACCAGTATTTTAGAAAGAAAATATCTTCTTTTTTTTCATTCACAAGTAAAAATCAAAATTATCGAGAATATATTTTTTATTCAGGTAAAGAAACAAAAGAAAAATCAAAACATAAGGATATAGGAATAAACAAAATAATAGAAATTTGGGCAATGTTTTAGTTTACTATGTCTTACTGATGTTATGGTGAAAAAAATCTTGCTATTGTTTCTTTTTGTTTTGTTTTTTTAACTGAGTAAGTTTTGGAAATCATAAAAGGACAATCATGAAGTTAAACTGTTTCGGAATATCATGTCACACATATATGATGACCTGAAAGATATATATAGGAAGTGTGCTAGTCTGATTTGTTGTATTGAAGAAATCTGAAGACAAAAAAACAAAACAAAAAACAAAACGAAGGATTTTTTTTAAACTCATGAATAGGCTACACACCAAGTTAGTACAGATTCATTACATAACAACTAAAGCAGTATCAAGTACCATATATTGGAAACTTCATACAAGTGTGTTTGTTTGTTTATGTTGAAAGAAATTTTATTTTTTATTAGAAAACTGATATGTGTATAGTTAAAAGATTTATTTTTATACTAAACAATAGAAATTATCCATAACAGAGAGAAAAGAAGGCTATTTTAAATTTGTTTATTTGTTTTCACTTGATGATAATGTTAATGGCCAATGGCAAGGATTTTGCAGAGTTGCTGAATTAAAAACATGAAAGTATTAACAGAAACAGGTGTGCAATATTTTGAAATATGATTATATATGTATGTTCCCAATATGTCTTAATGCAATTTAGATAGAAATAATATCAGTATAAAGAAAGTATTCATAAACAGGCCTTAAATATGGTTAAAAAAAGAGAAATCATATCAGTGTCATTTATTGTATACTTCACTTCTAGTCAGGACTTGTAATACATGGAATTCTTGTTATGCAAATAAATAATCAAGAGAAATATTGCCTTGAAAGTATTAACGAAATAGGTATGCCATAAGTATTTATATTTACATCATATAGATTTTGTACCAAATATAAATATTTGATAATTATTATGTAATGAGTCCCCAGAAGTAACTAATCTTGTTGTTCTTACGATGCTATTGAAATGTTTTGATTCTCAACTTTATTTGTAAGTTTGTCTGAAAGGTTTAGACACATGATGTACCTGTATGTTCAACAGCTCAAAACAAAGAATTTTGTTTCATTTCTGTTTATTTAACTTTTATGTACATGTTGTATTAACATTTTGTCTTTTGTTCTTTATTGTTTTAAAAATTTTCTTTGTACATTTATATGTTTATTTTATTTACATTTTTTGTTGTTGATAATGATTATATGATTGCTTTAGTTCTGAATGAATGTATTTTCTTTTTTGTACAAATCTCATATAGTATTTAGTGTTGAGCTATGGTATCAGGCTAGACTGCGTTAATTTTTCGTTTACATAAATCAGTTTTTAAAGATGAATGAGTTCAATACAGAGAATTAGACCAATATCTAATTCTTTCATACAACATCTTTTTATTAAGCATTACAAATCTTTATATAGCTAGTATAGTTACAAAAAAAAAGAAAAATGTACAAAAAATGAGACATGAAATGTTGCATGATTTTTAGGTCAAATTGTATTGTCATCTTTTTTTCTTCAAACCATTTATAATATTGCAAAGTATAGAAAATTAGCAAGATTGTTACCTTGACTCTGCTGTGCCATGAAATATAGGGCAAGATTATACATTAATACATACTAGTCATTATTTAAATAGGTTAGGGATACTGTTGTTTTTTATTGAGAACAGCCAACAATTGTTTGTGTAAGTTTTGTATGTATGTGTAAAAGTGATTCCTTCAGTATTTTCATTTTATTTTCTTCAGACTCCCATTCTCATTTTTGTTCCTATTTTGTAACATTGATAATTGTGACTCACCTGTGCTTGAAAACATGTTAATTAACCCTTAAAGTGCTGGAACCAGTAAATGTAGATGACATTTGTTCTTTATTTAGAGAAATTGTCCTCATTGGCATGTTGGACACTGAATTATGCTTAATGGAGATATACATGATATTTCATTAAGCTTTATGTCATTTATAACATGTTAATCATTATGAAAACTCATAGCTAAAGTCAGTGAGATATATTTGATATCATTCATTTGTACAAATAAAAATAAGAGAAAGATGCAAATTTGTTTGATATCATAAACATGAAGTGCTTGTAAAATTATATCATATTTTTCATTGGCATTTCTTCTCTCTTGTACTGCCTATAAGTGTGGGAGATGTTTTTCAAAGCATCACTTTATAATGAGATATATTCTGTATTCACTCAAAACAGAGAAATGAGAAATATTTCTCCTGTGCATACTATCATAATTTCATTCTTACTTTTTCCACAGGCATTTGGCTCCTTTGATTGGTCTATTATGATTGTACACACAGTGACATACCCTCGTGTACTAATTGAGCCACGCCATGCGCAAAACCAACATAGTGGGTTTGCGACCATCATGGATCCAGACCAGCTTGCGCATCCGTGCAGTCTGATCAGGATCCATGCTGTTCGCTTACAAACCCTATTACAAGTAGAGAAACTGACAGCGAACAGCATGGATCCTGTTTCATATAATAAACTACAAACTGGAGCTAATTGCCTGTGCAACCTTCATGAAGAATGTAAACACTTAAGAAACATAAATGTTAAAATGTGATTAAACACTTAGTGCCAATATGTAATACAAGGTTGTATTTGAATGTTTTTAAATTTTTTGTTGTTGTATATTTTGTTTTCTTGTTATATCATTGTGTGAAACATTAGAGATTAAAGTAGTTCCATATTATTATGCCAATAGGAGAGATAGGTAATGTTATCTCAACAATTTCTTATTTTGTGAGATCAGTGATTTATATAATTCTTATTATTGATGTGAATTGTTTATTGTCAATAAAAAGATTTCAGTTATCTTCTTAACATGGATTTTCTTTGATATATAGCTTGCACTAAAGTTAAAATAAAGTGTTTAATTTTCAATAATTTTATTGCAAGTATTTCTTTTTTAATTCCTCTGTGTTAAAGATACTTTTATGATGTTTAAATCAGTATATTTTTTATGTTTTCAAGAAAGCATTAAAAAGAGTTTCCTACGAAGTTGATGAATAAAATCAGAAATTTTGTTGGCACTAATTTCATTTTTGTGTATTCTCAGGAGGAAAAGAACACTTTATTTCTATAAATTGTACTTACTGTACTTTTTAATGTTGATTTTTTTGTTCAGAGTATTAGAATGTTATCTTGAAAAGTAGTAAAGATGTTTAGTAAAGTATATGCAAGCACAAATTATTGTATGTATATTTTGAAGTAAACATGGTGAGTTTTGTCAAATAATTCAAACTTTTGCTATATGGATGTGCCTTCATGTATAATTATAAATTTAGGTCATTTAATTCTGTGTACAAGTTTTCTTGCCTCAAATTCTTACCTTAAATCTTATTGATTGTTTATGTTAAAAGTCTTTAAGCGGTCAAAATAATTTGAATTTTAATTACAAAAAAGGCTGTTAAGTTGAAATGTAGGAATAAATTTGATTTTATTTCTATAATCTATGTATTTTATGTTGCTAGTGGCTGATTTTGTGTTGGGGGACTTTAAATCAGCTGCCAAATCACAGTTGTGAGTGCAAATATGTCAGTATCTTCAGATTCTTTCTTGGAAATCTGTGGTTGTACTGTGGTGCCCTCGTGTCCCTGAAATAATGCACATAGGGCACCTGAGGTCTTCCTCCACCTGTTGTCACTTTTAACAATACAAAACAAAAATTGTTACTTTTAAATATGAATCTTATCTATTTCTGATTCCCAGATACAGAATCTCACTATAAAGAGATTTTTTTTAAATTTCATAACAGTGGTCAATTTTATTTTGAAAATTATTCATGGTGGATTGCAGTATTAAATGTTTTTGTAACATTAAAAAAAATCCACCTGAGATGTAAGCATGCAATTACTATATATGATATAAATTTACATGTTATAAATAGTATTTAAAACCCCGAAATAAGGACCATCTCTATATAATATTCATTCATATGAGTCATACAGACACAACATCATAAGGTCCTTATTTTTTACAATTTATTCATATGGATGTTATAATTTTTATATTTCGTTATTAATGAAAAATTTTTCAAAATAGTGTAACATGTTTAAAATTTCACTACTTATGTAAACAACCCTACTATATTTATTTAAAGTAATCACACTCCGTGAATAATTAGTTGTAAGAAAAGCTTAAATTTGACATTTTGATTTTGCAAATTGTATAAAAATCAAGATTTTTGCTATAATTCAAGTTATTTGAAAAGTAGTGTATTCTAGTGTTATAGTATATATAGTATTCTATTTTGATTATTTATGTGTCTTAATTTTATATAACATTGAAACTTCTATGTATTTTGAAGGATTTTGTGATAAATTTATTTTTAAATATAAAATCTGTCCAAGTTGCTTGCTGTTATAAGCTGATATAATCCTCCACATTTAAATCATCAATTCATATAGAAGACCATTTGTTTGTTGATAAGTGAATTCACTGATACTGATGATAACAACATTTTAATATGACCTTTTGATGATTATTACAATGATGATGAATATTAAAAAAGATTATTATCTTAAAATAAAACTAACAGTTAAGTCTTTTTATTTCTTTTAATCAATTGTTCATGTACTTTGTTGTTTAGATTCTGCCTCCATATTTATACTGTTCTGAATCTTACGCAGACAAATTTTGTATTGAAGATGACATACAATTGATATAAATAAATAATCATTGAACAGATACTCAAGTCAAAAGTGACATATTTTGAGATATAAAAGTAATTTACCCCGTTTGTTACTCATTTTTATAATAATCTCGTTTTTTGTAAGCACTAGACAATTAAGCATAAACAAATGAGCAGGTGCTCCGTTTAAAGATGGATTAAAAAATTGATTAAAAAACAAAACTTTGTCTGATTTTTAACTAATTTGGAAATTTTAACAACCCCCTTGAAATAACTACAGGGTGATCTGTTTCTGTATTATCTGGTTATCAGCACCATACAAGTAATTATGTTTTACCATATGATGATATATTTGATATCTTGCCATGAAGTGTCTTCCCTTTAATTAATTATTGCAATATACAAAATTTTGAATAGACATCTGAAATTTGTAATAATTACACTTGTATTTTGTAGAACATATGATTGTCATATATAGCAAATACTGGTACATGTACTTGTGTTGGGTATAGATTGTCTTACATATTGAATACATACAGCAAGTAATACACATGTACCGGTATGTTAAGTATGTATTATGCTAGACAGACACAATTTAGTAAAATTCTGTTATCTTTGTTGAAATCCAGACATATGTTTTATGCTTTGTAAATAATTTACATTATTGATTGATGAAATAAACTTTAAAAGCAATCAGTCTTGTTTTGAATTATTTCAAAAAGCTTAGTTTTGATTGCCCAACTAAATACTGTGATGGGGTGGTCTGTCTGTTATTGATGAGTAAGATCATAATCAACTTGGTCTACTTGAAGGTCTAGTCCAAAGAATTGTTGTATCGAAGTACGAGAACCATCCATTCATAACAAAATTATAACCAATTATAGCAAGTTATCCAAAATTTAAACATTTTACCTTTAATGTCAAGGTCATTTGTGAGTCAAGATCAAAGTTAACTCTGGTCTTCTTGAAGGGTTGTTGGGACCAAAGAAAGAGGACAATCCATTGGCAAGAAACAAAAAACAAGAGCCCGGTTTGAGCCGGGTGATGCTCCCCGAATAGGTTTTGGACACAAGAAAGTACACCTCTTGTAGTTTCAGAGTTATGTCCCTGGAAAAAGTTCAATAATTCCAAAATTAGGCAAGGCAGAGTTACTGTTCTTTGCACTGAACTTCTAATCAATGTGATCTATCAACCTACAAAGTTTCTCGATGATATCTCTTATGAGTTCCGAGTTATGTCCCTGACAACTTCAAAAAGTAAAAATAAACAAAGGGCAATAACTCCAGAATTAGGCAAGGCAGAGTTATGATTCTTGTGCACTGCACATCTACCCATTGAGATACATGTATATCTATCTACAAAGTTTCATGTTGATATCTCTTGTAGTTTTACAGCTATGTCCTGGACAAGATTTTTCTAAAAGGGGAGATAATTCAAAAATGAGGCTTAACAGAACTATGGTTCTTTCGCACTGCACCTCTACTCAATTAAATCTTTCTACCTACAATGTTTCATCTTGTTATCTCTTATAGTTTTAGAGTTATGTTCCGGACAAAGTTCAAAGTGTTAAAATTACCAAAGGGCAATAAATCCAAAATTAGGACAAAAAGAGTTATTGTTCTTATGCACTGCATATCTACCCATTGAGATCTATTCACCTACAAAGTTTCATGCTGATGTCTCTTATAGTTTTAGAGTCATGCCCCGGACAAGATTTTCAAACCGGGCAAAATAGAGTTATGGTTCTTTGACACTGCACTCCCCCTCAATGCCATCTACCACTGTATGAAGTTTCAACAAATTATCTCCAAGGGTTTTCAAGTTATCTTCCGGACAAGACAATGGATGGACAGACAGACAAGGCGCCGACTATATGCTCCCCCGAAATTTTTCGGCAAGCATAAAAATGGCCACCGTTTTTGGACTGCAACAGGAATGACAACCCGACTAGCAATAGCTCAAAATTTTCCTTCAAAAAAGTTGGGAAGCTAAAAATCACTTCTAAAATCTTTTTTTCTTTAGCTTTATACACAGAACATCCCACGCAAATTTGTTTAAATGTGGCCTAGTGATTTTAGTGAAGAAATAATGATTGTGGATAATGGATGGAGGAAAGAGCACCATAATTATATTCTTCATGCTTTTTAATTACTTTCCACAATTCAATATGAGAAATTTAATCTCTTGTGGAATGACTTTAAAATAAAAACAACTCTGATGTAAGAATGACAAACTTTACTCACAGCTTGTTTTGACTTAGTAAACATATCAGATGTAAATACGATATACAAAATTAATCTTGGAAGCAGTATTGGTATCATCTACTGTTTATAACTGTAATAAATATCCGTGATTTCATATATTTTGCTTAGTTTTAATACACACAAAAAATTGCACAAATGACGATTGCAGTACTTCTTTCAATAAATTTTAGCTATCAATGTTTCACAAAACTGAAGATCCTATACGACATCCCTGCAGACATGGAATAGGCAATACACAATAATATACAACATTCAAGTTCTATACAAATATGCTACATCTCAAGTACAAAACATGGTCTGATCGTTCACCCAAGAAACATGATGTTTGTAAGTTTTGGTGAAGTCAACATTGAAATGATACCATATATCATGGTCATTAAAATTTCAGAAAAGAAGGTTTTGGTGTCTTTTGTGTTAACTTAAATGCAAAACAAGCAAGAGTTGCCTGATTTATAAAACTCCTGAAGAAGTTTGAAGCAATGTAACATTGAATTGCTAAGATGTTAGCCTTATTGGATCTAAAGAAGGACTTTCAAAGTTATTTTTCTATACAAGTTTTTGTATTCACGACTGAATTAGACTACAAAGACATGATTTATGTAACTCTTGTAGAATTCAAGTCAAATATTTATGCTAATCATTCATGTACAGAAAGCATAATTAGGATCAATCCTACGAAGTTTGAATAAGGCAAAGATTTTCTTTTTTCAGAAATGGATAACAATATGCATCTGACATCACATGACTACAAAAAGCTCACCTCTACACTAAGTGAAAATAAATAGATTTCTATAATTCTTCTTTTTTAATCTTCATATAAAAGTTTAATTAATAAGCTTTTCTTTCCATTTGTTTTTATTTTAATCTTATGTAAATTGTAAAACACTTTTTGCCCTTGTTCATATTCAGGATATAGGATCTCTTTTTCCTCTCAACCTAACATGTCAACAAACCATTTTCCATTATAGTAACCTTCAATTAATAAATAAATTCTTAACCCATTATATTCTAATCAACTTTAGTGTAAAATTCTCTCCTCTTCATTCATGCAAGTTACGGTTCTCTCCACTTTATTCATGCAAGCAAAGGTTATTTCAATCAAGTTTCCAATACACTGAACTTCTTCCCCGTCTTTATATTTTTCAGGCTGATACATGTCTTTTTCTTCTTCTCATTTTTGGATGACATCTTGATTATTTATCTTTTTCAAACACTGCCCCTATGTGTAACAACAAAAAACTTTCTTTTTACACCTCATCTTAAAATGACAGTCCACAGAGTGATTGCCCCTTTATCAACTTATCTACTACATGTAACTAGAGTAATCTGCCCCTACAGTCTGCTGAGCCACAGTAGCAGTATAAAACCTTCCCTGGCACACTGCCAACTTCATAGTTGTAGTCCCATGTTAGTTCTGAGCCTGCACTTATATACCTAAAACACAAACAAGACTTAGTATGTTTTATTCTTCCTCACTTTCATAATGAGCAATGAAACTAAGACCATCTACAAAGTAATTGATTGTAAAAGATTCAAAATGAAGATACAGGACACAATTTTTTTACTGAATTAAAAACTTAATATATAACCATAGATTTTAAGATAACAAAATAATAAATGCATGAGATTTTTTGCACAACATGTGATTCAAAACAAGATCTTATCTGAAGGAAAGATTTCAATTTTTTCATGACTAGTACTGACAAACAAATAAATCTATTCATTTTTTGTATTTTTTTAAATGAAAAACACAATACATGTCCTTTCTCAGGAAAATCTGTGCAAAACTAACACTGCCTAACACCAAAGACAAACTTCAGACCTGTCATTAACGTTTTTTATGTCAGGTTTTAAATCACATTGTTACTTTAAGGTCATTTGGCAAGTTTTAAGCTTCTGTGGACTCTATGTGTCTGTCGATGTATCCATTATTTCTGGCTTGAGAGGGAATAAGACTAGAACCATCAACCTATTAGATAGATTTGAAACAATTGCACAAGTCTATACTTTTTGTAGCTCAATTTTTGTATCTTGATATTAAAATCCATTAAACTTCAAATGGTCTGTTCCAAATTCAAAGCAGAGGAAATCTATAACACAGGTTCAATAGGGTAAAGGTCAAATCATATGAGTCGACAAAACCAACATAGTGCGTTTTCGACCAGCATGGATCCAGACCAGCCTGCGCATCCGTGCAGTCTGATCAGGATCCATGCTGTTCGCTTACCAACTCTATTACAATTAGAGAAACTGATAGCAACAGCATGGATCCTGATCAGACTGCGCAGATTACATTGGTTTTGTCGTGATGCGGCTCATATAGAGTAGAAAAGTGTTTTAATTATAATGCAATAAAGTGATGCACTTACTGTCCTGCAAAAAATGCAATCCAAGGAAATCTGAGATCATGAGTGTCAGCAAAAACATTCTGTACAAACGCATTTGGAAAACAGCTATGCTGTAAGAATACAGAGAAATATATACTTTAATATAGATTTTAACATTTGATATTTATACAGTAATAAAATATCTTAATGCAGCTTTCTGCTACATGAATTTTAATTATGACCTTTTCTTAACTAAGCTGGTAGAGGAAGACCTAAGGTACCCTATCTTGTAGTACATGTAATTATTTTAGAGATGAGCATTAGCCTTTCAAATACACATTTGACTTTGTTTTAAGTCACTACTTTAGAATTAAGGGAGGCTTTACAGTAGTCACTTTTTTCTTCATTTCAAGCAAATGTGGTCATCTGGGTAGAACTACCAACAATAATTCTGTGAGATGTGTTCCTCGTGTGAAACAAGAAAGATTTAAACCATTTTAGGAGCAAAGAAATTCCAGGACATCAATATTAACCACACATACATATATTTCTACTTACGTTGAGGTATCGTCCAATATTTCCCATTGATTTGGCATCCATTATATAACATGATTGCTCATCCTGGTAGAAATCACGAGTTGATGGACCATGAAAACTGTCTTCATTATCCTCTATAATATTATAATGTATATTATAATTCAAAATAATACTCTTAAGTACCGGTAAATAGATGAAATATATTTATAACTTATATCAAATATCCTATCATTAAACTTGGGTAGAGCAGCTAGACATACATGTATATGCTATTGTGTAGATGAAAAAATTTACTTAAAAAATTTAAACTTAAAATAAACTTTAAATTACTTTTCTTAGTGCATTCTTGAAACAAGTGAAGAAGCTAACAATTACTTGTGGAACATCAGGTACCTGTGTGGAGAGTCAACCAAAACTTTGTACTCCACTTCCACTCAATCATTGATGCCAAATACCATGTTCACAATACATGTATATACTTAGGTAAATTATTGAAAGTGTTACTTCTAAATATTTCTTTTTAGTTTTAGTAGTATGTCTATTGCATGAAAATATTCCTCATTAGTCAGGTAGACACTTTTTAAGGCTAAAACAAATGTCACAAGCTTGTGGAATAATTACAAAGTTGTAATATATCAAAATGTATAAAGACATTCAAACTTCTGGTATAATGATAACATTAATTTCAAAAAACCCCAACCTGTATTATCTTTTCCATCTTTCTTTGAAGGGTTGATCTGTCCGTATCTTGCAGCTGTAGATCTGCCTGTTCTTCTTTTCTTCTCTGATGTACTATCTAATACTGAAAACATATAACATTTTCATTCTAAAAATCATTTAGTATCTTTTAATACCTAATACCAGGATTTTTTATTTCATTAAGGGCTGTGGTAACTGTAACAAAGTCACACACACTTAATGATTAGAATTAATGGTCATAAGTTTCAATCATATCATGGACACTGCTAACTTCATATGAAAGAAATTTATCCAACTACTGTATAACTATGGCAAGGCCAATATGTGCTGTTAATATGTGCTGTTAAGTATCTTTTGATATTTACTTTTTTGTGTTTCTACACACAGATCACAATGGCATAAAGCTTTAAGATTAAAATAAATAAAATTATATCTATTTTCTTAAGGCTTTAACGGCTAGTCCAGATTTCATTGCTAGAAATACGCCTGCCAATATAAACACATTAAAGGGAAGTAGTGATCCTATGGTTATGGTGTTTTCCTTTCAACAGATGGTTGTAGGTTTGAGCCCTGCTGTGGTCACAACCAAGTCTCCTCATAAGAAACCAGTACTGATTAGTTCTAGAAAGAACACCTAAGAGAGGTAGCTTTGTTCATAACTAAGCTTTAATAAATATTGTTACAACTATCATACCTGGCACCTCTGTTTCATCTAGATCAGGTAAATCACAATCAGTAGATTCTGGTGACTTTATAGGTCCCCCTGATGTACTCTTCTGTGCCGTCTGCTTCTTCTTTAACTGTTTCTCAGCGGAACTATAAATATTAATATATAAATATACAAAGTCAAACTTAATTGTGTGGGGGCGTGGCCAAGTGGTTACCGTGCCGGAATACTAAGGATTGCTGACCAACTGTACTGAAACCCAGTTAGGGGCAAGTCGTTGCTTCGTTGAGCAAGAAAACTTTACACTCATTGCTTAGTACAGTTGGTTCAATAACAAATTTGAGAGTGTTTCAATAAGCTAATAGCTTCCAACACAATCAAACTTAATAAATTCGTTTAAACTAATATAACATATCTGTAATACAGTTGTAGATGTATTACATCCAGTATAATCTCTCATGATAAGGCAATAGACCAGTATGTAGTTATCAATAACATGTTAAATTAAAATGATTTTGTCTAATGTATTTACAATAAATTTTACAGTAATTCTATTAAGCAGAAAAGCAGGGAGACTTTTTTCTCATTTATTGTTTGTGTACAGTTTGGAGTCATATTGATAATGTATAGGTCATAATGAAAATTCCAGCTTTTCTGCTGTTGGAAGATAACTAATGCCGGCTCTAAATGCTATTATTTCAAGAACAAATTAACACTCTGGTCATGCCACTTACTTTCTGTATACCAGCTACATTGTACATAACATTTGTCTCAAGTTTCAACCACATAAAGAACTTTCTGATAAATACATTTATAATTTACTTGTGTACTTACACTTCTCTGCTTGTCTTCTGCTTCTCCGACTCCTGGCGACTTTTTCTTCTGTAATAAAGTACAAGCATTGTATGAAATAGAGAATGAGATTGTGTCTGAGGTATGATTTAAATTTGACACTTGCAATATTATTAGCCTAAAGCCACAAATGCGATTATTACTTCTGGACTTGTAAGATTATGCAAATATTATTTCACAAAATATTAAATAGAGTCAAAAATGCTGACACTGATGAAATTATCATCAAGCTGTGATCAAACTATGGCCTCCCTTGTACTTCAAAATAGTACGGAATATCTATTTGAATCATTAACACAGTAACTTTGTTTTGTATTGAACATTAATCTAATAATTTTTTTCACTTCTTGCATTTTGTACCAAAATGATCAAACATTTATATCAAACAACAAAGTGTCAGTGTAAGAAATTAAAGTCGCTGAGATTTTTTAGATTTCTCACTGTTTTATATATTGATATTTTTTTACAACTTAAAAGTTAGTCTTTATATAAAGATAGACAACCTTTAACTTTATCAACATGGTAACAAAATGAAAGTTAAGAAAGTTTTTTGGTAGCCCTACCTAGTAACATGTAATTTTTGAGACACTGTTTCTTCTAGGCGACCAGCTTTTTTATCTGTAAATGACCTATAAAATAATCATAATACTTAAAATAATCTCCTGCTTGGAATCAAATTTCTTATGTTAAAAGAACTTCATGTTAAAAATAGTAATAGTAACAAGAAAATTTATGAAACAATAATTCTTTTCAATACAATTATATATTTTTGGAAGGTGACCTTCATTGCATTATAAATGGGCACATATGGGCACCCGAGTAGAACCACTGACGTTCCTTAAGCTAGCTGGATAGCTTCCTCACATGAAAGAATCCAGAGTTCAAGCCGAGATTGGTGAGGGGCAAGCAACTTGAAGTCAAAGACCTTAACCAATTGACCATGGATGCCCTATCCATTACTTCTTCCACTGATAAAATATAAATACAAACAAGAACATTACAGTCAAAAATTATTTTGACATTTCATAAAGTTGGACATTGACATTACAGTGACTGTCACATTTTGACGACAATATCAAAATTATGTTTGTTGCAAACATGTGTTATTAAACCTGTATTGGATGCCCCAGTTACCATAATGGTGTTAAACTAGTTCTAACAACCAGTAAATGTTCAAGAACTTACTCATCAGAATCTGAACCAATGCCAGCTTCTTCACTTTCATCAGTTTCAAATTCAGCATCATCTCCTCCTATACCTTCATCTATATCTTCTACATCACTCTCATAACCTTCCTTCTGTCTCTCAACAACCTGTAACAAATCACCATGTAAATATATGCTTCAACAATGAAACAATCCATTCTCAACATAATCAGAGAAATAATTATGTAAATATATGCTTCATCAATAAACAATCATTTCTCAACATAACCAATGAATATATATGCATGATCAATGAAACAGTAAATAATTCCTTTCTTGTCATAACTAAAGAAATGAATTTTCAAAATCCTAAAACCATTTCAACCTATCCAATTCTGAAAGTTAAAGGAACCAAAGTCACATCCGAGCTAAATTAATTTTTGTCTCATTTCTCGCAACATCATATTTGATAATATATTGTGATAAATAAAATTCTTAACCTCATTTATTTTATCTATTTGTTTTTTTCATGGATACTATTAAGAATGTTATTACTGCAACAATGTTTATTTCTATTTGTACTAACATTCTACATAATATCCAGGTACCAAATATACATTCAAGTTATGTTTATATATTACAAACAAATTACTTTTACTTGATCCTTTGGCAATTAATGAATTCCATACCAATAAGAAAAGAAGGAATCATGACAATTATTGTAGCAGTGCTAATTTAAAACATCAACCTGAAAAACAAACTATTATAAATTTTAAGTAAAACTTAAACAATAATATTGTTTGTAATATATTTATAATGCCTTATTTTCTTTTCAGGCCCATTTTTCTTGTTCTTATTTTGTATAAACTACACCAAATAAATATCTAGCAAAAAACTCTATTGTGTTGTCTTGCCCTAAAACCATAAAGGCCCAGCTGCTAAATTATTACCTCTATATAGTCTAGTTCAGCTAAATATTCATCTCCATATTGTTGTCCATCCTCGTTCGCACCTTGATCTGTTAACAACTGGCCTGCATAGATACAAATAAAACCTCCCTTTGGAATGTCGTCAAGGCAACGTAAACCCCAACCTCTGTAAAATATACAAACATTGATGTCACTTGATGAGGTTCAAAACAATATCTTAAACCCTTTGCCTGCTGGAACTGGGAAGGACTCGTCTTTGCCCCTACTATAGAGCCAGGTCAACCTTCAGTCTGGCCAGGCTCTTTACAATTAGTAGCTCAATTTTAGTACATGTATTTTGATATTAAAATCCCTTAAATTTCAAATGTACTGTTCAAATTTAAAGCTGGACAAATCCATTACACAAATTAAAACAGTAAACAATTCATATATAGCTCACTCAAGAGACCGGCATGCTGATCATTTTTAAGTTATGTAGTTAATTGAGTAGATGTTACTGTTGTTCTATTGACTTCTAAGCCAGTTTTAACAGAATTCTGACCACAGAACAATGTAACTGAGGCTGTTATAAGTTCTTTTCAAAAAGTTAACTAACCTTTTTTCTGTTTTAAACACCTGAAGTCTGTTAGATAGGCCATTTTGTACGACCCTGTTACGGCATCGATTGTCACATTTACATCGTGAATTGCACTCATACACCCTGTAATATAACATTATAATGTACAAGTCATTTCATTATATATAATAATACTTAGCTTTTGCTAGCCAATACAGCATGGTGCTACATTAAAGCAGGGCTCACACCAAAGTGCCCGAGTTGTTGCCTGAATTGCCTCTTTAACATGGTTAAGTAATTATAAAAATAATGCATATCCATTAAAATATGTTAATTTTAACATACCCGGACAGAAGCGGCTCTTGTAAGCGTCTATAATGGTACCCAGCATCAGGGATTGGTTTCCCTCCATTTATAACAGCAGACGTCTCGATTGTCAGCTGCTGACATCGGCACTTCGTACGGTCCTGATAACAAATTATAACATTTATCATATCTTTATATTTCATAAAAATGTCATACATGTATATTCAGTACATGTCATGCATTGTTTCATAAAAATCACAGTGAAGTTATTACTGTGAAGTTAAAACTTATCCTGCAGGTAAATCTTAAGAAAGAAAACCTCTAATTTATGCCTTGTCTTATACCCAAAGATTTTAATTATCTGTTTATTATTTACTATAATATTGTATTAAATTACACATTTTTGTCTATAAACTTTCAACAATAATTGTTATGAAATCATATCAAAATTTTTTCTTATTTGTAGCATTTCTTGAACAAATTTACAACAATTTGAAATAAAGACGTTATTACAAAGAATGGAACAAAAAATAAATCACAAATTCAATCTTACCCTACAGTTGTCCTCGCAATCACAACATTCCAGGAAGTTGGGGTCAAGATTTAATTTGACCCCTGAGGCAGGAATACGCTGATTAGAATAGTCGACATAGTCTGGATATTGTCTATCTATACCATTAACACATGATATAACCACATTCTCCTTGCCATAGGATATATCTTTAATGTCACAAAATGTCTGAAAATAATGAAATATTTTTATTTTAGTTGAGCTTTAGAATCACCAACCCCAAATATCCTGGCACAATAGTAGTCTCACAGGAAAAAATCAAAACCCCTAGTGGTAAATCAAGCCAATTGTGGTGAGGGAAAAGTCAGCAACCTTAACCATTTGGTCATGGAGGACCTAGTAACCAGGCTATAAATCAGATCAATCTCAGAAAATAGCTTTTCAATTTCCTTTTCTTTTCTGTTTTCATGTAAAAATTTAGCAGAGGCTGTAATCTAGTGTCCTTTTGCATGCATATCAAATGGTTTACATAAGAAAAAGACTATAAAGGTAAAAGTAATAATTCCCAACCTTGGTGAGTTGAAATTTTAAAGGTAAGAGTAGGAAGTTCTGACCTTGACGAAGGGATAATAATAAAGGTAAGAGTAGGAAGTTCTGACCTTGACAAAGGGATAATAATAATGGTAAGAGTACGAAGTTCTGACTTTGACAAAGTGATAATAATAAAGGTAAGAGTACGAAGTTCTGACCTTGACAGGAATAAATTCATGATGTACATGTAGTTCTGCATCACAACAGAAGTTGTCAATACTTAGACCACTCTTTGTAATTTCAAGGAATGAATCCACCTCATCTAGATTACGTAAACGTCTCCCACATGGTGCACGATAAAACACAACCCGTCTTCCATATGGTTTTGTCTTTGCTACATGCCTGTATGATTAATAAAATGGTTAAATATTTACACAAGTTTTCTAACTAACAAAACTATCTTCAAGGTCACATGGCATCTTTTAAACCAATAAAAGTTGAGGAAGACACCAGAATCCATTTCGTGAATTATTTAAGTCATAAACAGACATATGACTAGAACAAATAGCCTTCTGTAAGGTAACAGGCTGTTTCTAGATATAAACAGTTACTTACATAATACAGCTGTCAAGGTCATAAAACTTCAATTATTCACCAAAATTATGTTAACTGAGAGATAATTCACTCAAATTGACCACAATGGAAGGTCAACTAGATAAGTCTTATGACAACATTGTCCTGTATTGCAGTATTTGTTGTTAATGCCAACAAGGCAGTCTGAAGGACAGTTTTATCTCCTGCCATAATACAATTTTCATGCTTTAACCATCCCCTAAGTAAGACCTTGAAAGAAGCAACCTGGATTTTTCACTTATCACATTTTCCAAGTGATTTAAAATAAGCTTTTAAGTAGTTTAAAGGACGGACTAACATACAGTGTCAATTCCTATAATTCCCATTCCAATATAGCAGGGAATTAGGAAGTAAAATAAAACTACATTAAAATTTTATAAATATAGCATTCTAATTTTCCAGAATAAGCAGGTGAATGGAAGAAAGGTTTAAGTTGTCAATTACCTTTCCCATCCATAAAACAGTGGTATAAGTAATGGATTATTCCCCTTCAATTTTTCGGGATCATCATTTATGTTATTCAAACATTTTCTGCTACATACATGTTTCACTAAAATAAAGAGGACAATATTATTTGGCATAAAAAAAGACATCGAACAGCTGTATAAGGTTTCATAAGTAACAATAAATATTCTTTTTGTTAAATAATATGTAACACAAACCATGCTAAAATGTTAAGGCCATATTCAGCTGATGAGACAAGAGGTATCTGCAGGTAACTAGGTAGAAACAACTAACTCTCTTTTTCCCATTTGATACATAAAATAATTCAAATTTTCCAATGATATTCAAATCCACAGAAATGTAGAGCTTTTGATTCCAATTTCAGAAAACAATAAAAACTTTTCTATGAATTTACTTAATACAAGAATTAATCTGGGAATAATATCTTGCAGATCACTTCATATTTAATCTTTTCTGAAGGTTTGTAACATGTACTACACATTCAATGAGATATCCATAATGCTAAATGAAAATTCAATTACCCATCTTTTTATGTATCTTATCTTTGGCAGATATAATATGGTCCCGTCTGGTACCAAATGATTCCAGATCTGAAACACATAAAGTCATACATATAATCTTTATTCATTTCCAACATGTACACACATAGTACAATCTCTGCACAGCAACACCCTTTAGTTTAGTTTATACAAATAAATTTTTGTTTGATTGTGTTGGAAGCTGTAAGCTTATTGAAACACTCTGAATCTGTGCCTGGAACTAACCAGTACCAAGCAAAGAATGTAAAGTTTCTTGCTCAAGGAAACAAAATATTGCCCCTGACACAGTTTGAACCTACTTGGCCAGCAATCCTTACATTACTACTATACTAGTCTGACACGTTAACCACTCAGCCACGTTGCCCGAGCAACATCCTTTGGGAAACAAATATTTTGGTTGTTGCTGAAAGATGTTGCTCAAGAGTGGTTTGATATATAATTTGTTAAGTCTTAGGCTGTTATTAAAAGGATATTGCTCTATAAAGGGCCACATTGCAGAGATTGCACTGTACTTGTATATCATTCTAAAACTATAGACACCACAATTAAGTAAATATAATTCTTTTTTATCTTTTTACATTTTTAAATTTTGTTTGAAATCTAAGTACATGTAATACTGACTAAATTTCAGTAAGTATGTGGCTCATGGGTAAAATATTTCTTATCTTAAACTTGCATTGAGGGTATAGCTATTCTATAGACTAAATATGATGATCATATGAACATTTAAAAAATATTTGTAAAACAGAAATTTGCTTTCTGATTGAAATTTTTCTTAAATCATTTGAGATATCGATTGCTAAAGGCACATAATGCCTCAGAAATTCATATATACTGATAATAAATATATAATAACGTTAAGTCTTTCCAAATTTTGAAAGAAAATTATTCGATCTTATATAAAAACCAAAAGTTGCCCATGAGGGTTTTTTCTCCCTCATAAACCAGTGAAATTTTAACTACCAAATAAATTTCCCCTCAAAATGTATATAAATGAGAAAATTGCTAGAGATATTTGTGTAAAAAGTAGTTTTTATCATTAAAATAAACCCCTAAAATAAATCAACAAAACAACTCATACATCTTTTTTATACATGTAGTTAATAGGCTATTGTGAATGAATATACAATCATGTATAAAAGAAAGACATTGCCTATTCTTTATATTAATGTCAGAAAACTGATAACTTCCAATAACCTTAACATCAAGTAACGTTTTTACCTTTTTAAAACAAATATGCCTTTGACATTAATATCAATTCATGTAAATTATACCAAACTATTAAACTACAAACATTAAAATTGATATTACTGCACAATAGCCTGAAACCACCAACATTTTTATTTTATAATTTTACATACTGCTTGTGAAAACTGGAATAAAAATACATCACACTGTAATTCTGTATTCAAATAACTCAGCAAATTAACCATGATTGGTCAAATAAATTTGTGCACTAGTGATTGAAACAAGAGCTGTCCGTAAGACAGCGCGCTCGACTTTTTTAGTGCTTGCCTATAATACAAAACATTGACAGTTAAGGGCCATAATTCAAATAAAATCTTTGACAGAATTACCTTCTCCTGGACATGTTTGGGAATCATGATTGTAAACAAGTATTCCAACTTTCAAATTAATATCTCAAACAGTTCAGTCAAAAAGTGGACTGGTACTAAAAACTTAACCAAGATTCTAAGTCGATAAAAGGCCTTAATTTTTAAAACAAATCCTTGACAGAGTTACCTTCTCTTGCGTACAGATGGGGGTAATGATGTGAAATAGCATTAAAAGTTTCAAAGCAATATCTCAAAGGGTTAAGGCAATAAGTGGATTTTACCCATATTCAATGTATTTTCTAAGTCAAAAAGGGGCATAATTCTGTCAAAAACCTTGACAGAGTTATGTCCTCTTGACTGTTGATGAAGGTCGTGATGGTAAACAAGTATGGTCAGTTTCAAAGCAATACCTCCAATGGTTTTGAAATAAAGTGAGGTGGTACAAAAAACTTAACCAAGATTCTAAGTCGATAAAAGGCCTTAATTTTTAAAACAAATCCTTGACAGAGTTACCTTCTCTTGCGTACAGATGGGGGTAATGATGTGAAATAGCATTAAAAGTTTCAAAGCAATATCTCAAAGGGTTAAGGCAATAAGTGGATTTTACCCATATTCAATGTATTTTCTAAGTCAAAAAGGGGCATAATTCTGTCAAAAACCTTGACAGAGTTATGTCCTCTTGTCTGTTGATGAAGGTCGTGATGGTAAACAAGTATGGTCAGTTTCAAAGCAATACCTCCAATGGTTTTGAAATAAAGTGAGGTGGTACAAAAAACTTAACCAAGCTCAATACACTTTCTAAGTCAAAAAAGGGCCATAATTCTGTCAAAAACCTTGACAGAGTTAAGTTCTCTTGTCTGTAGATGGAGGTTATGATGGTGAACAAGTATGGTAAGTTTCAAAGCCATACTTGTAATACTTCTGAAATAAAGTGGGGTGGTACGAAAAACTTAACCAAGGTGTGACGCCAACGCTAACGCTAACGCCGACGCCGACGCCGGGGCGAGTAGGATAGCTCCCCTTTTCATAGAAAAGTCGAGCTAAAAATAAATAATGCAAGAACAAAAATAACAAAACAAAGTTTAAACATTTACTTACTTTTCCCTTGAAAATAAATATTTAAGTCTCTTAATGTAATAGAATAACACAAAATTCATATCACAATGCTTTAAGCAAATTCTTTGAATCATTAATTATCATTGGACAATTTTAAGTTGTATATCAAGTTAAAACTAACTGGCAACCAATATTAACAGAATTAAATTAATTTACTTTTATCCAAGTTAATATTCTACTTAATCTAAACAATGTTCAAAGTCTTATTTTGCTCAGTTTATATTAACCTTTGATACTTGATCACAGTGTACTGCTTTGTGCTTCTTGAATTTTTAATATTAAATTTTTTTTTAATTTATCAGCAAACAGTAGCCTTGTCAGACTTTATTGATGTGCAGGGTAATATGGCATTTATGTTGCCTTAAACTATGTATTTCAGTAATTTTATCTTGAAAAAGTGTATCATATCACTGTTAAGCTTTCTTCTAAACACCATCTCTAGAGATATTTAAGATGAGAGCTATTCATAACAACTTAGTGAAGGTTTTTTTCTAAAAATACAAGATCGGGAAATGAATCGTCTGCTTTACTAAAGAGCAGACCGGTAGATTTGAGGTATCGAGGGGTTTCCTTTTTGTTTATGTATTCTATTGTCGGCAAATTTCATTTTTCAACTGAATTCTCTTGATTTGACCATAATATGAAATGATTTATCTAAAAATTACATATTTAACCATTAGAAAAGCTGAAGGTCACTTTAAACTGGAGGTTTATGTTGTAAACAGCTGATAGCACTAATGGAGTTAAGAAAATGACTATACAGATTCCCACTATGAATACAGCTTTTATTTTCTTTTATATTCGTGTATAATTCAACAATGTGTGATCATAATACCCAATAATTGTCAGTCATTTGAGCATTTAAATACTATATATCTGACTTCCATATTTGTTCATATCATTTCACACAGTGTTATCATTAATGATACTATATTTAAAATCTTATTCCCCTACAATTAGAAAGAAAATAAGATATGAAAAACTAAGATGGCTTATGTACTAAATAATCACTCAATTGTGCTTATAGCCATAAAAAGAGAATGAATAAGTTGTATAAGAGCTACTGGATGAGTAAATTTACTGTAATCTATTGTTCCTCTGGCCACATAAGTAGCTATAAGTAAGTATTAGAACAACAATTGGAGATATATGTAGCAAAAACAAATTGTCACCTTAGTGCAATAACTAGTTAACTCCTATTAAATTTAGAAGGACTGAACCCATTACTGCACTAAGGTGATGACAAGTATGTTATCATGATGCAATCTCCGTTATCATTATTGTACTTTAAGTCATACAAAATATTTTTTAGACAATAAAATGTATGAAATAAAAAGTACTGTTGTCTTCTAAGCCATAAACTATCTATATTATGTGCAAATATTTGAAAATATATTGTCATATACTGTTTTCTAAGCCAAATAAACCATTGTATTATTAATGTTCACAGACGGACAAAACAGCATACATACAGATATGGACAAAGGGGACAAAGAGACAACCTACCAACAGTTCCGGCATCTTCTGATGGAGCAAGCCTTTCTTGTAATACTGTTGCCATATCTTTACTGCTCTTACTAGTATTACCACCACTACTGATTGTAGATGTTGTAAACTTATCTGTAAAGAATCATTAAACATAATACAGTTTACCCCATAAATGAGGCAAAAACATTTTTCTTATGTTTGTGAAATTTGTGCCCAAAAAACATCCAAACTAGCATTGGCAACGTTCTGTAATGAATCCAAGGCCCTTATCCAGGTGTTTATATTATACAGATACAGAATAAACCTAATATATAGTCATGGCTTAATCAAATGGTAAATTGGTGGATCTAAAATTCATTTATTTGAATTTTTTTGCTAGCTAAATAACAATTAAAGAAGATTTTTCTTTTTACAAAAGACAACTTTTTTTACAGGAGAGATGACAAAGTGATTAAGATGTCTGCCTCTAAACGTAGCAACCTAGGGTCTGAGAGCTCCTGGGGTTGTCACCATGCTTAAATATTTAGAACAGTACTGGGGACTTTCAGAAAGTAGATTTATCAGCTGTTCAATATTCCCTTTCATCACAATAATTAATCTTATGTCAAAGTGTTACCTTGAGACTGTACTTTAAGGGAGGGTTTCTTATCCTCAGCCCCGCCTTTATCTTTCTTTATTTTGATCCACGGAGCCTCCCATATCTGACCTGTGTTTAGTGTTGACCCCTGTGTTGTACTCTTCTTAGCTACAGACTTCTTCTTATCAGCTTTAGCTGGTGAATCTAAAATACATGATAATAATATATACAAGGCACTGTTTGTTAATATATAAGTATAACTTACGAGCATAAGTCATTTTTATTTTACAGAAATACAAATACGGACCCCTCTTGAAAATATATTAAATGTGGTTTTAGTTGATATGTGGTCTCTGAAATTATTAATGCACAATATCTGATGAAAACATGAACAAAGATGTTGCCTGTGTCTAAACTGACATGTTTTCTTATCTAATCTTATCTAAAGAAGGTCCTTAGCTCAACTGTAGTTAAGGTAAATGTAGGAGAAAAAAATACACAAATATCAATGGTAAGATTGGCTTACTATTATCAGAGCTGTTGTTTCGTGTATATTCTACAACTGGTTTCTTTGGCCCTGCTACAGTTAGGTTATGTCTCTTGACTTTACCAGCATTTCTGTTTGCTTCTGCATTAGCCTGTAAAAATGTTACACATCTCTTAAGCTACTACATCTTATATGATATAAAAGTTAAACTATCAACCTGTCGTTATTGTGTAATGAGTTTGCCCTGCTTTTAACTTGGAACAATTCATTTGATGTTCAAAATATTACAGTATCAAAATACAAGAGCAGGTTAAGGGTTCATATTCATACATTTGCTCATCAAAGAAATGATAAACATTAAATGAAGTTCTGGCTCTCCATATCTTTGATTTAATACTTGTGTATCGACTATGACATTTGTTATTTTTTCATCTTTTCACATTAATAACACTGGCAAAATATAAGAAAACTATAACAATTACTATCTAATGTTTATTCAAGAACATGTTTAGATAAGAGTTATTCTGTTTGCACGATTGATAGTTAAAACAATGAGACCATGTTTGAAACTCATAGAAAAGCCTTTCATTTTCATTCTTCTACAGTCCCTAAATATTTTCATATTTTAACATTAACTCCGAGGCTTGAACCATCATGATAAAAAACTTATACATGGATTGGTATTACATAAATATATATCTGAAACCAAAATACATACGAGTGCGGTATAAAGAGGTTCTAATCTTGTGGATCCCCTGTAGATCCATTCACTACGTTTATCATACGGGAAGAACATCAGGACAAGGCTCGCGTCCACTTCATCCACCTTGGCTGTCCACCATTTACCCTTCCACTCTGTCTTCACTGTCTGTCCCTTGTGTAGACGTACCATTGGTCTCTGTAATATCAAATATATCAAATACATATCTTACTTAAAACATGATGAGACACACAGTGCCGAAAATTTAATTCAACAAAACAATAGAAACATACCTACATTAATTGACAAAATTTCAGTTACAGAAAATCAGAGTCACTGAGGTAAAATATCATATCACAAAAAGATGTTGTTTTTTTTTCCGTTTTGATTTTGGTTTTATTGCATCACCAACATAGTCTAAGTTATATGGAGCCGAATCAGGAAAGATGATTTTGGCTAACCCCAAGTGTTACAAATTAAGCAAAACCAGTGATCAAAACCACCTCATCTGCTGGAGCTTAAAGAGATGCACAAGACTCCAATAATTTGAACCCTTTCAGTCACCTCTTTCGATCATGCATGGATAAACTGTGCCTGCAATTCTAATGTCTCAACTGTAAAGGCAACCCCTCAGCCACAAGGGGCACAGATGAAGTAGTGATGAATTTTGAATTAAAGATTACACAATTTGTAGATGAACTAAAAAAATATTGCTGTCATTCAAGAAATTCTTTATTTTGTGACACAAATTGCCAACATCATTGGACTCAGAAGAAAACACCTATAGTCTACTTGCCAAGTTTTGAATTTGGAACTGTCCATAGTTAATTTCAATATCAAATTTATAGAAAATAATCTGTCAAGAGCACCTTAAGGACAGACTGACAGACCTGGCTCCACACTAGTTACATGGCAAGTCAGCAGCCCTGCTAACATATCGAGAATTTAAATAATGCAACAGCTTTTTTTAAAATTTAATTTAGTTTAAACATATTTATTTTAGCTTGATTGCAAAACAAGTATTTGAAACTCATATTAATCATTTTCGAGTTCACTTCCTGGAACTAACCAGTACTGGTGATAAGAAATCATCGTCCTGACTTGAGTATGGCTCAAACCCTTTTATTCAAGGTTGATAGTATCTTAGACCTTCAAAAACAAGTAACCTTGGAAACCTATATAACAATATGTTTGTCTGACAGAAGAAAAGATAAGGGAAGTTTTACTACTAAATTATTACCTCTGGATACTGAGCCAAATAATCTTTGACAAAATCTTGTGAGTCTGGATGAATATCATCCCAAACGTTCTTACCTATAATATAAAATATACAAACACCATATTAAACAAAATACAAATTTCAGTTCCTTTTCAACATTAGAAATAATAAAATGTTAAGAAGAACCCCTATATATTATACTTATTTCATTAAAATAAATTTTTTTCAAGACCTAAAACTTTTTTTCACCAAAAAACATAGTGATTTTTTTCTATCATTACTTAAAGACATGCTCATATTTACATTTGAATTATACCTGTGGTTGAAATGGAATGACTTACTTTGATAGAATACTTTGTGAATTTCTCTGGAGCTACAGTACTGAGCATAACCATCATCAAAGAACACAAGATACCTGTAATGTTTGTTAAGTCATTTTATTATCTATGTTGGAGAAAGCTTGCAGATTATGATTTATGTTTTTATGACAATCTGGCTAACAACAATGTATATAGATTGTCATTTACACTCCTCAGTATTATATATGAAGAAGTTAACAGTTTCTTGCAGAAACAACACAAATCTGGAATTATTCATTTATAAAGTGTTCAACTGATGCTAAATCTTCCAAACTGTTTCTTTTTTTAGATCACTTTTACCTGTGGTAAAGGATTTAAAATTTAGTGGTTATGGAGTCTGTCTCTCAGCCTAGGGATAGTAGGGTTTAAGTATTTCATGAAGTTAAGAAACCAGAACAGACCAAGATTCAGTCACCACTAGCAAGCAGTGCTAAACTAAGGTATGTGAATAGAGTGATCTCTTCAGTCTGTGACAGTATTTCAGTCATTTACAGATGGGACAGAAATCCATTTTTTTCATGCAAATCATTATAATTTAAGAAGTACTGCACTTAGGACTTAAATGATTCATGAAACCTTTCCTTGCTGACCTAACTAGCTAGTCTACAGTGCAATATTATTATAGCATATACATGTATAAAAATGTAGTGAATTCCTATACATTACCTTAGCTCATTTCTGCCATTGGGAGCTTCTGCTACAATCCCAGCATAGAAAGCATCGTCTGTGTCTTCATCTTTATATAGAGCTATAACATACACAACCATACAATATCATACAATATCATAGTATAACCAAATAAAAATGACAGAGGGGTAAGTCATGTGGCAACTTTAAGAAGTTAAGAGGTGACCACTTTTGCTTTAAATAGAACATTCAGAGCTGGATCGAACAGCTTTCTCACATCAACTGAAACATTTACTTAACAAAATATTCTACTGTATTATAACTTTTAATTCAACAACTTTCATTTCATGTTGCTCGATAAAACCTAGCTATCTGAATTAAAAAAAAATAAGTTTAAACAAAATATGAAATAAGTTACCAATAATCCTGGTTCCTACAGTAACAGGTTTGTTTATACTATCTAGAAACGCCACTTGTTTAGGTGTGACAACCTTTGATATTTTTCTTTGCTCAAATTTGATCTTGTATTTCCTCTGCAAAGAAATAAAAAATGTTATCACTCTGAATACTATCAAACAGACAAGTTATTCTTTATAAATATTTGAGTAGTGCTACATGTACACACATTACAGTTAAAGGTGCATGTCTCCTGATGAGCCAAAATATTTCAATAAAATCAAACTTGAGAAAACTGTACTAAGATTTTTAGAAAAGTAAAAAGATTCAAGATTCAATTACTGATTTACAGGTGATGTTGCAGTATAAATCACCATCACTTTAAACTATTAATAATTATTGACGAAAATACATTAAACTTTTATTTGGTAAATTTTAAAGTCACACAAACAATATTAAGGTGACTACTATTCAGCTAATGTGGTGAAGGAAGACCTCAGGTGTCCCTCTTTGCATTATTTCAGGCACAAGCTGGAACCTGTGTTGGACCACAGACTTGCCACCTTAAGCTAGCTGGAATTGCTTACATGAAAGAATCAAAAGTACCTCACAGGTTCGACTCACAGTGGTGAGGGACAAGTGGTTAAAAGTCAGCACTCGAGCCCATTAATAAGTATATGAGATTATAACAGTAACCAAGACTATGCTTACCTCATCCACTGGTCTGGTAATACTGTATATTTCTGTAATAGTTCCCTTCTCCCACATGTCACCTGTACGTCTGCTCAATACTGTCATACCAGGCTTCATTTTACTGAAAACATGAAATACTATTAACACAGAAAATATGTTTATCTACATAATGACATAAAGAGTTTTTTCTGTAAATACTGCCAGCATTTGTGAAGACATAAAAATCATTTTCTTTCAACTCATCCGGCTTTTGTTAGGACATGGAAGTGCTTTTCCCCTCTAAAACTGCAAGATTTTGTTTGTAGTAAACATAACACCACAGTCCATTACTTCATTTTATTGTAAATAAAAAGTCATGAAATTTAAAATAAATTAACTCCATTTGAATGAATACTCATTTTTTACTAGTGCCAATATATTCATTTTTTTCTGATCAGAATTTAGCATGATCCGAATCGTTTCAGTTATATTTCATCTTACTTAAGGACATCAGTAAGACAAAGTGTGAGATGTGATGTGAATTTAATAAATGCTAGAACCTGAAGTGACAAACTGCCATCAATAAAGAACCAACGCAGTCTGTACATGCATTCACTCTCAACTTTCGCCTCTGTATACCCATGGTTCCAAATATGATACAGGCACTGATGCAAGACTTTTTACCAGATGGTGTTGCAAAATTTCTACAAGGGGAAATACCTTTTGGCATTTTACAAGTTTTCCAGATAGGATCACAAGTAAAAAATTTTTGCATCATGGTTTTCACTAGTTTTTGTGTTACCAAGGCCAAAACATCATTTTTTGGGAAGGGGCCTCAGCCTTTTTCTTGGGGAAAATATGCCTGATTTTAGCATACTTTGGGAAAAGGGGTCTCAAATTTAACACAAACTTTTAACAAGTTCTTCAAAATAGAAAAGCGAAAAGCACTGGGAAATACCAATAAGGCAGTAAAAGACCTTAATTCAACACCATCATTAAATTTTGTTCTAAATTCTATGGGAAATTTCAAAAGACTAGGGAATTTTGAGGACCAAACTGGGGAAAAAAACAGGATAGTTTGGTTAGGGAGGCAGCCTTTATTCGGCCTCTACAAAGAAGGGTTTTTTAGCCCTGATTACCCTCCCCTCTCAATTCAAGATCCCCCAGCATGTGGTAGCCCAGAGGTGCTTTTAAGAACTAGAACTATCTAAAGGTGAATTATACCCCTCCTTCCACCTCAACTTTTTGAAAAATAAGTTGTCTGAAGCCAAATTTGAACTCAACCTATATTTTATGATGTTTCATCTGTGTACCAATAATAATTACAATTAATTGCCTTGCTGAAAGAGTACAATCATCTGCTTACCATTATTTTGGTTAAAAAAAGATAAAAAAAGGAGATAAATAAGTAAGAAAAAATTATTCCTCTGAAGTCAATTTTACTAACAAAAGCACTGCAAAGGCAGGGCAATATACACCCAAATGTACATTTGTTTAAAAAATTAAAAATATTTTTTTTAATTAGGAAAGAGACTCAATCAAAAGGTTTGTCTGAAAAATGTTTTATTTTAATTATCCTTATGATACTATATGACCTACATGATGGTGGGGCAGATTCATAAAACTTTTTAAGAGGTCAACTAAGCAATGCTATATGCCAAATATAGAGGCATAGTATTTATCCACAGAAAGATAAGATGTGCTTTGCTATAAGATAGTCTACATAAAGCAAGTGACTTCCTGAGGATTTTCACCTGAGGGTCATGTTATAGAAATCTACAAGCTCACATCTTTGTAGTTTCACGCCATAAGGCTCAAATGCATTCACCTAATATAAGTCTAAATAAATCAAGTGACCCATGGAAAATATCCCAAACATGTACCAAAGTTTACTTTGATAACTGTATCTTCTGTTTCAATAAATTAAAGTTTAAAGCTCAAAAATCTGACTTATTATCTGTTATCATATTTAAGATAATAACAAAGTCAACACTTGGCTAATCTTCTATGATATACAAATAATAGTAACAAAATATTTATTTTATTTCCAATATATTAATTGCATATAAAAAGATTGTGAGAGAAAGATAGTGTAATGAAGGATTATATGATTCATTAAATTTATAATGTCAAGGGAAACAACTAACGTGGCCAGAATAAATTTCTGTAACTGGAATAATGCTTAATAATGTACTAGCAAAAAACCTGTTCAAACATGAATGAACAATGGGAGTCACTTCAAGAGGCAGACAGCCAGAATCAAGTAGCATTTCAAGAGGGAAACACCCAAGAGAAAACAATGCTTGTTGGTGAATATGACATAAAAATGAGAGAAGATACATTACAATGCTTTGTAAAAGATATTTGTGTGTTGGATAATGATAAAATAGTAATAGCTGATTCTAGTAACAACAAGCTGAAGTTACTGGATGCAGAGTTTAAGATAACAGGAAGCTGTAGAATTCAAGGTCAACCAGGTGCTATGTGTAAAACTGGGTCATCAGAGGTGTCTTGCTTAGTATGTTCTTTGACTGGTAGTCAGTTTTTCTTACAATTCATATCATTGAGTGAAACATCTTTAGTACCAATCAATTCCTTTATTGTGGAGAAAGACAAATTTCATGTTGGTGGTATATGTTATCTTCAAGATCATCTGTTTATCCTATGTAGCAGCCAGGAAATTAAAGTTTACAACAAGAAAGGCTCTGTTTTACGTCATATCTTCTGTCCTGACCTTAAGGGCAGCACTGTTATGGCAAATATTTGGACTGACGGCTATGACCTCATTGTTACCGATGGCAACAAGAGGGTTTTTACACTTGACACAGATGGAAATAGAAAAGCAAAAATAACAGATAAAAAGTTTCAGGGTATATATGGACTGAGCAGAAAATCATGTGGTCAGATATTTGTTACCAGTTATTATTCTCACAGTATTGTTACCATGGATACTAGAGGAAAAAATAAACAAGAGATACTGGGGAACACTGATGGTATCAAACATCCACAGGCAGTGGCATATGTGGAAAACTCTGTCTGCATCATTGTAGGAAGTTATGGTACAGATAACATTCAAGTTTATAGAGTACATTAACTTATACCTCACAATAATTGTCACTTTTTTATAACAGACTTGTCCTACTTTTGAGTTTGGCCACACCCTTTTGTATGTAAATTATAATTTGAAACATAAAATTTGATGTAAATTTGAGATTATTATGAACAACTTAACAATGTAACAATATCAAACATAATATATTATGTAACACATGGTTCACTTACTTGACATCCTCAAGAAACGTTCTTTCCATGCGTTCTTGATTCTGTAAGGAGGTCATCTGGTACGAACTTGATGCATGCTTTTTCTGCTGCAGAAGACTTAAGGCTGCCATCTGATTGTTTTGAGCATGTTGACTGTGCTGCATCTAAAAATAAAACAGGAGATTTTCATAATTGATGAAAGAATTAAAATTTGTCAAGAGGATATTCAAGTTTTTTCTATAAATACAGGATTTAATTTCATTGAGTGATATGAAAATAAAAATTTCACGAGTGACAGCAACCATGAGTGAAATAAGATAATTTTCATTCCATAAGATGAAAGTAACTCCTGTATTATTAGAAAAACTTGAATATTTTGTTTAATATTAATTTTTTTTATTTCTTTTTTTTAACTGGATGATTTGAAAGAATTCCCTTTTAATTTTGTGTATTGGCTGAATTTAGAAGAAAGTAGTCCAGCAAGGTGCTAGTGAATATACCAACACAATATGCTTCACTGCCATGAAAAATAAATTTTTACAGTGATAGGTAATACAGAAAATGAAAATACGAATTTTATTTCATCAATATTTCTTCTCATTTGGAAGAATATAATAATAAATTAATAAATGTTATCTAATACTTTATATGTGATTATTTTCCTAACTTATGGAACGTCATTTTGATAAAGGTCACTCACTTAAAGTTTATATGAGTCTCAATTAGTTATAACCGGTAATCATTACCTTGCATTACTTGAAAAAAAGAATGTTTTATAAATGCATTAGCATTAAAATGTAATCCACCCCATGTTGGATACGACATAATGAAATCAACCTGAAATTCTTATAAATGATTCAGAACTGCTACAATTTTATATAGATTTATATATAAGTAAGTAAACATGTTTGAAAATAGTGATATTACAATGAAAACAAGCAACATCATTGTGATAAAACACACACAATCAATGCTTTACAGTCTACAGTCATTTACAATTTACAAAGTCTAGACTCTATAATTTATTTTTTTAATAAATTTTAATACATGGCAGATCTTTGAGTTTTGATGATCCTGTATCAATACTACTATGAGTAAACTAGGAATGCGTTCATAGGACATCACAAATGCCCCAACATTCCACTGTTTTGTCTACAGACTGCCCATCCCCCCAACATCCTCATGTGTGGGGTAGTGAAAGGAAGCGGGGATAGGGCATGAAAATAATTATGTTGATATAAATGTACACCAATAGTCTTTATTTACAATTCTAAATTTCAAATACTAAATATCCTGCTTGATCTGTGTTTAATATTTACAGAATTCAAGGAAATCTCAAGAAAATAAACATTTTTTTACCTACAGGTGATGATAACTCAGGTAAATTCTATCAAGATCAATCTTAATAAAACAAAATTAATAACAAAATTTATCAGAAAACAATATTACATAGTGAAACAATTTCTATTCTATGTTTCATACCTGCACAAGCTACAAAAAGCAAAGTAAAAGAAAGAAAAAGATGTGAATCGAACATACACTTCTAGCTATAGTAGGAAACATAGCTTGTGGTGATGATGATGATGGTGATGATGTAAATGATGATAACAATGACAGGGATGTACTAGGAGCTGCCGTGGGGTTTAGTGAATTTTTAAAATGTTCCCTCATTTGTTGTAATTTCCATTTCTGAAATAAAGTGAGAAAGGAATATGAAAATTCTGCCTTTAAAATAATTCACCATTTTGATATTCTTTGTTGTCGTTTTTTTAAATCACACCTACACTGTAATGGTTATATGGTGAGTTTCATGCTTAAATGGTGGGAGAAGACCTTAGGTGCCCTCTAAGCGTTATTTCAGGCGTAAATGGAAACCCTAAACAGAACCAAAACATTCTATAAGCTCGCTGGACTAAAAAATCATCTCTTAAAACTTGCAACAGATTTTATCGCTTCCATAATAAAAGGGGCAGGGGAGAGAGAGGGAAGGAATTGCAAGTCTACAACATTAACCTCTTCAACTGAAAAAAGAAATTGAAGTTTTTAGCACTAACCACTCTGACTGAGGGAAAAAATTGCAAATCTGCAGCACTAACCACTCAGAATAGGGGAAGAAATTGCAGTTTTTAGCACTAACCACTCAGACTGAGGGATGAAAATTGCAAATCTGCAGCACTAACCACTCAGACTGAGGGAAGAAATTGCAAATCCGCAGCACTTACCACTCAGACTAAGGGAAAAAATTGCAGTCTGTAGCACTAACCACTCAGGCTGAGGGAAGAAATTGCAAATCCGCAGCACTTACCACTCAGACTAAGGGAAAAAATTGCAGTCTGTAGCACTAACCACTCAGACTGAGGGATGAAAATTGCAAATCTGCAGCACTAACCACTCAGACTGAGGGAAGAAATTGCAAATCCGCAGCACTTACCACTCAGACTAAGGGAAAAAATTGCAGTCTGTAGCACTAACCACTCAGACTGAGGGATGAAAATTGCAAATCTGCAGCACTAACCACTCAGACTGAGGGAAGAAATTGCAAATCCGCAGCACTTACCACTCAGACTAAGGGAAAAAATTGAAGTCTGTAGCACTAACCACTCAGACTGAGGGAAGAAATTGCAGTCTGTAGCATTTACCACTCAAACTGAGGGAAGAAATTGCAAATCTGCAGCACTTACCACTCAGACTGAGGGAAGAAATTGCAGTCTTAGCACTAACCACTCAGACTGAGGATATATATTGCAAGCCAGCAACAATAGCCACTCAGAATGAGGAAAGAAATTGCAAGAGTGCAGTCCTTACTGCCTAAGGCAAGTATTAATTGCTGCACACACTGATGAAAACACATGTTAGTAAATGACTTTCTAAAGCAGTCTGAGAAGGTAAGCAATCATAGTTTCAAACATAACTCAACATAAATAAATTCTATAACTTATAAGGATAAGGTAAATATAAGTGTCTAAACTGAAACAAAAAGAAAAATGGCATGTAAAACAACAGTTAACAAGAGTATATCATCCATGCAATCTATACTTATATATAATGTCAGACATCACCAGCTCTAAACAAATTCTTCACTGTTGAAGTAACAATTTGTTAATTCAGCTAGAAATGTTTCCACTGAACACTATGCCCCTTCTTCATGTGCTGTCACAGAGGTATATTTGCATATTGATTTTTATGCATATTTCAATCATAACAGTAAAGTGTTAATAACCTTGACCTAATGACCTCAAATTCAATAGGTGCCAATTACAAGTTATGGGTAACCTTCATACCAAATCTTAAGACTGCAGGCTTAAATTATTCTCTAATTATTGGTCGAACATAGGGTCAAGGCCATTGTGACCTTGAACTTTACTCTATTGATCTCAAAATCATAAAATGTCATCCATTTGTTCTCTAGTTATTGGTCAGAAAACTTCTAGTGTATGGCCTCAGTGACCTTCACTTTTGACCTAAAATCAATAAGGGTCATTTAATGTCCATGGACAGTGTCCCTTCCAATTTTCATTAACAAGGGCTTATTTATTCTCAAGTTATTGGTTTAAACAGATTTATTCCCGAAAGTATATATAATGTGCATACAAATATATAACAAACAAAATATTTTTACACAATGGATAAGAATGAGAATGAAAGACAAGTGTTATAGAATTCTTCTCAAGTTATTGATCTGATCTCGATGTATGTATGTAGGGACGGACATACAGCCTGACCTCAACAAAGTATGCTCCTATGTTTTAAGTTTGGGCATAAACATCAATAATTAGAATTGAACAGCCTGCAGCAGGGGCTTGAGACAGGCTTCTACCAATCTTTTATATTTCTAAGAATTGAGATTGTTTAGAAGCTGTTTTCTGACTTGAAACCTCTTGACAAGGTAAATGCTGTCATACTGTATTATAATTTCAAACTGTTTCTTCGATACAATCAGACAATAAAGAATCAAACATTTTTAGTTCCTAAAAAGACAAAAAATCATGTCCTTTTTAAGCTGTAAGAATTTTTTTATTGCATAGTTAAAGCAACAAAAATTGTTGTTCTTTCTGTCTTTATAAAAACTAAAGATATCTAACAAATATGAATTATTTTGTCCATTTGAATCTACTAATGTAGAATATGTACAATCAGCATAGATCTGTCATGGTGGTAAACTGAGTTTCAGGTTAAAACAGCATGGCCCCAGATTCATGCTAAAATTTTGTCAAGGAATTGAAGTGATTTAAGCCATCCTGAAAAACTTAATATCTTCAATAATGACCTATAATTAATGTAAATACCATAATTTTTTTTTTGTAAGAAGAAAAAGACTTCACTCTGTAATTATCATGGTAGACATGTGATGGTTACATGGTAAATTCAATACTATTTGTATGTATTTGTGCCTGAATATGAAAAATGTCACTTGGATTATAACAAGTTACAGTACTTGATACAAGATTCTAAAAAGTTGTTTTTTTCTCCTTCTAAAATTCATTTACTCATCTGGGGGCAAGCAGCTTTAAACATAAAACTACTCTATATCTATATGGACAAATGATACATATAGAATAGTCATGCATGGAGGCATCAATATTTTCTGTTGTCTTACGCCACTGATCTTTATTTTCAGTCCAGATTGCTGGGAAAGAGATGCAGAAAGAATCTTTCTCATTGTATCTATGGTACGAGGCTGTAAATTGTAACAAAGTGCAATGTATCTAAGATATGAGTCTGAAAACTAAAATAAAACTCATTGTATCTATGGTTATGAGGCAAAGACACATTGTATCTGTATAATGAACCTGTAATTGTAATAAAACTCATAGTATCTATGATATGAGGCTGTTTGTTTGTTTGTTTCATTTTACACCTTTTCCCCAACAGTATTTCAGTCATATAGGCGAGTAGTTTCCTAACCATTGTTCCTGGAGAGTTACACCAGTACTAGACTACCTTCCTCCGCGCTAAATTACCAAAGTATCACCCGGGGATAAAACCCACGCCAGAGAGGTAACTTGATTAGAAGTCATCGACTCTTAACCCCGTCGACCACGATATGAGGCTGTAAACTGTAATAAAACTCATTGTATCTATAGTACAAAGCTGTGAATTATAATAAAGCGCAATGTATCTATGGTATGTGGCTGTAAATTGTTATTAAATTCATTGTATCTATGGTACGAGGCTGTAAATTGTAATAATAATATTTTTTTCATGGTACAAAACTAAACCTAGAATACCTAAATTTACCTGCAAAGCTGCAAAATGACTTTTTAAAATATCATTTTATTTAGAAGAAAGAAAATGCAGGATAAACATGTACTGCAAAGCAAAATATTAAATTCACAATAATTTAAGCTTTAGTTTTGAATCTTGTTCTATGAGGTTAAATCTAATATGAATGTACACAACATATTTAAAAGCTGTGTCTAGGAACAAAATACCAGTTCAAAACATAGTTTATTCTTTATCAATTTATGTGACTTAACTTTTAACATTGAATACATTGGATGGCATAAATTCATGCACATTTTTAAAGAAAAAACAAAACAAAACAAACTCTTTTATGAAGTGGATTTAGTTGAAGCTTTCACATTGTTAGCATCATTTAGCCACATTCCAGCTCTACTGGCAGGACAATAACTAAGGTTCTTCCTACATCATTATAATAGGCACTAAACTCATTCAGTCAGGACCAAACCACTGGCTTTCTAAGTTTAAGTTGTATAGCTTCCTCATAACAATGGAGCTCCCAGCATTCATTGCAAGTTTACAACCTAAACTTAAAAGTATTAAAAATGTCACACTGACCACGAAATCAATACCTTGTGCACCCTAGTAATTACCAAATTTGATATAATGAAATTATTTCAAAACCAAACCACTGCAACAAAACATAAACATATACTACTTACTGGATTCTGGCTCCCAGCATTTGATAATGCAGCAGATAGATTAGCTCTGGTCTGGCTAGGTGTTACAGTGGAACCAGCATTAGGCTCTTTTTTAAAGCTGAAACATTAAAAGACAACATTTCCATTCACAATGAAACAAAATCTTGTTCCAGTCCATGTTGTTTAATTTCAACTAAACATTTTAATGAGTTTTGATAATTTGTTAATCTATAAAATATGATAGTATTTCATATCATTTTAATACCAATTATATATTCTGCTAGGCTTCCTTAACAACCTTAACTAATATTAACAAGAAATGTCGAACAACACATATGCCCCCCTTTCTAGCCCTTGACTCACATTATTGGTTATTTTGTTATAGAAACTTGCCATAAATGGGTACACTGAAGTGTTTAGTTATGGAAAAAAGAAAAATAATATGATTTGTGATAAATTGTTTTTAAGATAATCAGCGGAAACAATGTGGTCTACCGACGGACAGACAGACAGACCGACATTAGCAAAACAATATACCCCCTCTTCTTCAAAGGAGGCATAAAAAAAGTTCTTCCTTAAAAAGAAAACAATTATTATTGTAGAATAAACAGAAGCAAGACACATCTTCTATGAAATTGCAACCTAAAATAACGACATTGAATGTCAATAAATCAACAGACTTGTATGTAAATAATCATATGAAAATCTATCTATTTCATATTTTAAATTTTCATTATCAACTCTTAACAAAACATCCTATATAATATGGATATACATACGACTGCAACACATGAGTGATCTCCCCCTGTCTCTTGATGGCTACCATAGGGTCGTATGTTTTCTGTATAAACTGAACATCATCATCATCATCATCCGTGTCATCAATGGTTATCTCACGTGGCTGTGTCGAAGCGTTATCAAATGCCAGCTTTGCTGCTTCATGCTTTATCCTGGAACAAAACAAGAGCTGTCTGTAGAACAGTGTGCTTGAATACTCTCAGTGCTTGATAGTAAAACAAGAGCTTGAATAATGTAGAATTTTCTCTAAGTTCAAAATGGGGCAACAATTATGTCAAAATTCATGTTAAATTTATGGGCCATGAACAGTGACCTTCTATTAAGCTCTCAAATATGTGTGTGTAGTTTCATGCCATTCCCTTCAGTGGTTTTGGAGATACAAACTTGCAATCAAAATCTTTACTGAAGTGTGAAGCAGACACCTGGGTGAGTACATAAGCTTTCCCTATTCTTTGCACAGTCAAGCTAAGATTACAACTTTAAAGGTACGATACCAAATACTTCATACTTTTGGCACAGTTTACGGGCACAAGACAAGGTAAAACCACTGAATCTCTATAATCTCAAAGGATGATCTCTTCACATGTACAAAGTCAATGTTCCTATGTATCCGTATACATGCATTAGAAAAGTTGTAGCGTATGGGAATCAAAATATCACCTTTAAATTGTGAAATTCAAAGAATAAGCCCTTCAAGCTTCAGCAGTAGTACTGGTAAGTTATGGAAGCTGATTTGAGACTGAATAGTTCAATTAAGCTTGAGTGACGGGCTGCTTCAAACTGACCTCATAAACTAGCTAAATACATGTAGGCGTATGTTTTCAATGACAACATATTATAATACATTTTCATCAATATTTCTTACATATCTGCTTTTTCCTCCTCTTCAAGTGCATCTCGGAAACCAACAAGCTGAGACATACAATCAGAAAACAACCTGTTTATCTCTTTCTGCTTCCCTGTAATTAAATTCAATGCTGTAATTAAGGATAAATTTACATACTGGTATTCTATTTCAGAGTTAAGCTTTCAAAAGTGAATGGCAATAATCATAATACTCAATGATCTTAGTATTTTTGTATTTGAATTACTTAAAACACACACTGTTTCCTATCAAAACTAGTGTAAGTTCCTAAAACAGTGTGTTTTCTTTTTTCCTTTTAGAGTAGTGATAGTTGAAAGGAAAGATGCATTGTGGAAGGGAAAATTTGGAAACAGTAAACTTCTTTTTTTTTTGTTGGTAATAAACAAAATCACCAACATTTCAAACAAACTACATGTACAAAGAAATTCATAGATCCCTATTCTGACCTTTTAACAGAATAACAAAAGATCATAACAAAAACATTGCCACCATTAATGTGTACTTTTGTTAAAAATTTCATGTACCAGTAATCCACCAAGAATCATCTGAAAATTTGAATCAGACAAATTAGGGTCAAGTAGGGATCTATGCATCCCCATTCTTTTTTCTTGTCTTTAACTGGTGGAGAGAATATCTTTAAAGAAAAAGTGGGAAAATACATACTTATAGGAAATGGGAATGAGGCTTTAAATCAGCCCTAACAACACTGTATCCTGACACAATGCAAGGCTAGACACACTATGTACATCTATTAGAAAAAAACAACAACATCAATCTTTCCATTAGTATTCACTTACTTTCAGCAGTTTTAACTTGATTTTGTATTTTCTGAAGTTCTGATTCCCATGTTTTTGCCTCTAGAGAGTTTGATGAATCACATAGGTCAGCTATTGCAGAGTCCACTATGTCCTCTAGATTTATGTCACAGTTAAACTGGAAACTTTTCATGCCCTCGTCAGCCATTTTATTTTCAAATTAATCCTGAAAATTCAATGTAAGAACATGATGTACCAGTATTTGTTCAACCAACCAAGGAAAATTTTTCCAGCAGGTTACAATGCTGTTATGGATGAATTATTGTGTTAAAATGCTTGTGAATGCTAGATTTAACAATTTTTTAAATAAATGGTTGGAAGACAAGTGTCAAATTAAACATGTTAGTCAGTGAGCATAATAACAAAAATAAGTAAAAAAATGTTTAAAGCTTTGTCAAAATTTTACATAAAAGACATAGATCAAATCACATTACTGTCAATTCCCAAGGTTGCCATTAGCAATAATTTGGCAAAATAGGTGGATATTTTTTGTCTCCATTTTTACAGAGACTGATGATGATTTTATAACCCGTGTTTATCTCTGTTTTATAATACATGTGGATGAAGAAAGTTGTCTACGCCCTAAAGAAAGGCACAATACATTATATTATTTTTATTTCTAAAAAGCTCTTTTTTTGGTACCCTGAAAGGTTACACACATCTAACATGCTCTAAACCATAATAAAACTCATTTCAGAGGCTTAATATGCAGCAAGTCTAAGGGGCATGGCAAGTCTAAGGAGGGCAGCAAGTCTTACTTCAGCAGCAAGTCAAAGGAGCACAGCAAGTCTAAGGAGTATAGCAAGTCTAACTTGTGCAGCAAGTCTAAGAAGCACAGAAAGTTTTTGGAGCACAGCAAGTAAAACTTTTGCAGCGATTCTAAGGAGTTCAGCAAATCTAACAAGAGGGCCATGATGGCCCTGGGGTCGCTCACCTGAACATAGGCCCCCAGGGCCGGGCCAGTTTAAACCAAAGGGCTTTTATTTGAACAAACTTGGAAGACACCCATTAAAAGATATTTCATGATGTTAAGTTTTTTCTATACACAAATAATGAATAACAATAACTTTTGCCCCCTCCCCCCTCTCCCTAGCAGGGCCAATTTTGACCCAAGGGCTTTTATTTGAACAAACTTGGTAAACATCCATTAGAACATGTTTCATGCTAAATATCTTAGCTCTAGCTCTTTTGGTTCTTTAATAGAAGATTTTTAACTTTTTACTCTATGTATATAGGGAAAATCAATAACCCCTGGGACAGGGCCAATTTTGACCCCAGGGCTTTTATTTGAACAAATTTGGTAGACACCCATTATAATATGTTTCATGCTAAATATCTTAGCTCTAGCCCTTTAAAAGAATTTTTTTAAAGTTTTTACTATATGCATATAGGGAAAATCAATGACCCCCTGGGGCGGGGCCAATTTTGACCCCAGGCCTTTTATTTGAACAAACTTGGTAGACACTGATAAGAAGATGTTTCATGCTTAATATCTTAGCTCTAGCTCTTTAAGTTCTTTAAGAGAAGATTTTTTTGAGTTTTTACTATATGCACATAGGGAAAATCAATGACCCCCTGGGGCTGGGCCAATTTTGACCCCAGGGCTTTTATTTGAACAAACTTGGTAGACATCCATTAGAACATGTTTTACGCCAAATATCTAAGCTCTAGCTCTTTGGGTTTTTTAGAAGAAGACTTTTTAAGTTTTTACTATATGCATATAGGGAAAATTAATGATCCCCCGGGGCGGGGCCAATTTTGACCCCAGGGCTTTTATTTGAACAATCTTGGTAGACACTTATTAGAAGATGTTTCATGCTTAATATCTTAGGTCTAGCTCTTTGGGTTCTTTAAAAGAAGATTTTTTTAAGTTTTTACTATATGCATATAGGGAAAATCAATGACCCCCTGGGGCGGGGCCAATTTTGACCCCAGGGCTTTTATTTGAACAAACTTGGTAGACATCCATTAGAACATATTAAATGCCAAATATCTAAGCTCTAGCTCTTTGGGTTTTTTAGAAGAAGATTTTTTAAAGTTTTTACTATATGCATATAAGGAAAATCAATGACCCCCTGGGGCGGGGCCAATTTTGACCCCAGGGCTTTAATTTGAACAAACTTGGTAGACACCCATTAGAACATGTTTCATGCTAAATATCTTAGCTCTAGCTCTTTGGGTTCTTTAAAAGAAGATTTTTTTTAAGTTTTTACTATATGCATATCGGGAAAATCAATGACCCCCTGGGGCGGGGCCAATTTTGACCCCAGGGCTTTTATTTGAACAATCTTGGTAGACACCGATTAGAAGATGTTTCATGCTAAATATCTTAGTTCTAGCTCTTTGGGTTGTTTAAAAGAAGATTTTTTTAAGTTTTTACTATATGCATATAGGGAAAATCAATGACCCCCTGGGGCGGGGCCAATTTTGACCCCAGGGATTTTATTTGAACAATCTTGGTAGACACTCACTAGAAGATGTTTCATGCCAAATATATTAGCTCTATCTCTTTGGGTTTTCTAGAAGAAGATGTTTAAAGTTTTTTCTTTTGGTTGCCATGGCAACCAGAGTTCTGCATGGAATGGAATTCTTTGAACAACTTTGTTAAGGCTTCACACAAGGAACAGTTTCAGAGGAGATGTCGTTTGAAAAGTGTGAACGGACAACGTACGACTGACGACGTACGACGGACGAAGAGTGATCCTAATAGCTCACCCTGAGCATATGCTCAGGTGAGCTAAAAAGTTCAGCAAGTCTAACTTGTGCAGTATGTCTAAGGAGTGCAGCAAGTCTATGGATCACAGCAAGTTAAAGGAGCACAGCAAATCTTAAGAGCACAGCAAGACTAATTTGTGCAGCAAGTCTAATTTGTGCAGCAAGTCTTACTTGTGCAGCAATTTAAGAAATACAGCAAGTTTAACTTTCGCAGCAAGTTCAACGAGTGCAGCAAGTCTAACTCTTGCAGCAAGTTTAAGGAGCACAGCAAGTCTAAGGAGCACAGTAAGTCTAAGGAGAATAGCAAGTTTAAATTGTGCAGCAAGTATAAGGAATGCAACAAGTCCAAGGAGTGTAGCAAGTTTAAGGAGTGCAGCAAGTATAAGGAGCATAGCAAGTCTTACTTGTGCAACAAGTCTAACGTGCAGGATGTATAAGGAGCACAGCTTGTCCAATAGTGTAGCAAGTTTAAAGTAGGCAAAGCCTATGAATGGGGAAGTCAGATAAAAAAATTATGTTTATTTTTTATTTTACAATTTTCATTTTAGGCGTCATTCAGTATTTCATGCACTTCTATCATTTTCTATCAGAACATCCCGACAATTATTCTTCAGCCTCAAAGTTGCGACATTTGTCATTCATGATTGTACATAAATCAGTAATATGAATAAGGCAAAGCCTCAAAGTCAGCTCTTTAACAGAAATAATAGAATTATAATTTAAACCTGTCGGTGGCTACACATGTTATGTTTTCAATAAACAAAGAACTGTACACTTTTGGCCGCACTTAACACAACCACACACTATATACAGCCATTTCATGTTTAATATGAAATCTAAGTTGAATCCACTTGTCAGAGAACATAGATGGGAACCATAATAGGACAGGGAACCAGATTGTAGTTTGGGTTATATGAAATTAGGCAAAGCCTATGAACAGGGAAGTTGGTTAAAATAATCATTCATTTTTATTTTACATTTTAATACTGCCATTCCGTATTTTATTCACTGCTTTCGCTTCTGGTTCCCTGTACTATTATGGTTTCCATAGAAGTGTGCAAGAGACCAGTCTACTCATCTGTTTTCAATCAAAATTTCTCGGCTTCAATTGTTATCTTGTAATTCGAAAAGTTGTGATTGGTCAATTTCCCATAATTTTGCAGTACAGTGGAGCCTTGCTAATCCGAACCCTTCTAATCCGGAATCCTTTCTTATCCGAACAAGGTGTCCGGTCCCGATTTTATTTGTTCTATTTTCAATTGTAAAAAACCTTTCGGATCCGGAACCTGTCTACTCCGAATTCCGAACGATTTTTTCAATTTTTGTCTCTTATTTTACTCTAAAATTTACCTCTCGGATCCGAACAGATTTTTCCAAATGTCACACCTTCATTCAAAATAACAAATAATCGCACATCTTGCAGGTGTAAAAATACACCAAACAGATTTGTTATTTCACTTGATTAATGGGTGAAACCTATGATCTGCGAAGATGTGAAAATTACACTTAGCTTGCCTTCATATCTTCTATAATTGCTTAATTGATTGTTTTTCGTCACCTTCAATAAATATTTTGATATAATGCAATAGAAATATCTTTTAATCCTTTGTAATGGATTCAATGATACGTGATTAAGTAATGAAAATTAATGGAAACTGTCAGTGAATTTCGGATAGTCGCTGAATCGGATAAGAGTAAACAACAATTGACAAATGCTGGTACGAATATTTAATCATGTCTCGGCATCCTGTTTAACATCGTATGTTAACTTACCCTTGAGGACATAATATTTTTGCTTATTTATTTATTTTAATTTCTTTATTTTTGAATTCACACTTATTAAAATGAACGATAAGAGACTGCAAAAAATAAAATATCTAAATTGCAATTTCAAATGCATTCCCGTTTTCTTTCCTTAAACTATTTTACAAATAACATGAAAAAACATGTGAAACAAGAGCTGTCCGTAAGACAGCGCGCTCGACTTTTTTATTGCTTGCCAATAAAAAAAGTTTTTGCAGTAAAAGGCAATGCAAGAATCTCTGTATTTTTAAAGTGAACAATGGCCATGAGCATTAAGATATTTAGTGAAGAATTATTTTACTGAATTGTGTGATACCCTTGAACACTGCAGCAAAGTTTGAAATGTTTAAGTCAAAAGAGGGCTGGTAAGAAAGAAAAAAAAACTAGTTGTTTGATACCCTTGAATATTACAGCAATGTTTATATGACATAATTTATGGTAAAGTGAACAAGTGGATAGGAATGAATTTTTTTAGATTTTTTAAGTTTTTTAGTGCTTGCCTATAATACAAAACATTGACAGTTAAGGGCCATAATTCAAATAAAATCTTTGACAGAATTACCTTCTCCTGGACATGTTTGGGAATCATGATTGTAAACAAGTATTCCAACTTTCAAATTAATATCTCAAACAGTTCAGTCAAAAAGTGGACTGGTACTAAAAACTTAACCAAGATTCTAAGTCGATAAAAGGCCTTAATTTTTAAAACAAATCCTTGACAGAGTTACCTTCTCTTGCGTACAGATGGGGGTAATGATGTGAAATAGCATTAAAAGTTTCAAAGCAATATCTCAAAGGGTTAAGGCAATAAGTGGATTTTACCCATATTCAATGTATTTTCTAAGTCAAAAAGGGGCATAATTCTGTCAAAAACCTTGACAGAGTTATGTCCTCTTGTCTGTTGATGAAGGTCGTGATGGTAAACAAGTATGGTCAGTTTCAAAGCAATACCTCCAATGGTTTTGAAATAAAGTGAGGTGGTACAAAAAACTTAACCAAGCTCAATACACTTTCTAAGTCAAAAAAGGGCCATAATTCTGTCAAAAACCTTGACAGAGTTATGTACTCTTGTCTGTAGATGGAGGTTATGATGGTGAACAAGTATGGTAAGTTTCAAAGCCATACTTGTAATACTTCTGAAATAAAGTGGGGTGGTACGAAAAACTTAACCAAGGTGTGACGCCAACGCCGGGGCGAGTAGGATAGCTCCCCTTTTCATAGAAAAGTCGAGCTAAAAAACCTTCTAATTCGGGAACCTTTCTTATCCGGAAACCTTTCTAATCCGAACTTTTCTTCTGGTCCGGACGAGTTCGGATTAGACAGGTTTCACTGTACTTCCGACCATAGTATTCAAAACCATCACTATATCAGTATATAGCAGGTACTCATGTTACAGTAAACCTCGCTTTGCGAGCAGGCCCTGTGAGCCAGCTCTTCGAGCTCGCTATACAGAGATGAATTAGAAGCTTTACAGTGCGTTTTGGCGGGAGAAAAGAATATATTTCAGTGATTTTTTCCCCTGTATTTTACAGCCCAAAAAAGGCTGTTTCCCTTGCCCAAAATAGATATATTTTCCCCTAAAATGCCCTGTGCACATTCTTCACTTAACAACAGCGGACATATTAGTTCTGACTTCCATAACTTTATATGTCGCTTTTATTATGACGTTTTGACAGTAAAGTTATGGGTTAACCCTATTTGCAAAGGCTACCAGAATTTGGCAGTTCTTAAGCCGTACATAAAAACCTATTAAAATCACCCTTATTTATCAAATTTGGGTCAAATAAAAATACCATTTGATAAACAAATCAATTCTGAATCAAATCATGTTTTGTTTTTAAATGAAACTTCAATGACATTGTGTACCCAACTATTTTTTAGGGAAATATGTAGAAAATGTTTACCAATATGGAGTCTGCTTTCAAATGAAATCTCGCGGGACTTAAAGTTTTGGGAATTCTAGCATCTATTTTTAGTAACGGACCTTACACTATTTTTAGTAAGTGTATGATTTTATATAAAAACAAACAAATAATTCATGAATCATCACTCAAAACAATATAAATCCAACATGTTTTTGGTACAATGTCTGTTATTGAATAAATACACTGTTATTCATAATTGCAAAGCCATGTTTTCAGTTAAAAAAAGCATTTGGGTCACGGGTCACCAAATGTTATGCAAAGGTATCTGAACCTAAATTCTCGCTTGGCACGTGAAAATTAGGGCAGCAATGGCGGCAAATTTTATGAAATGTGAACACGCTGATAAACTTTGAGGCATTATTTCATCAATCTAACGTTCTATGTTCAAAAAAATAGACTGAAGTGTCCCAAATATACATGTATCTAACTACCTGTATTAAAATAGCTTTTGTCCAGATCACCCAAATTTATTGAATTACAGCATGACATAAAAAGGTCACGGTTCTGGTTGACTTTCGATACAGGATTGGCTTGAGGGAACAGGTCTAGCAGTACTATAAAACCTGTTTGCTGAAGTATCTTTAGCTACGGATACAGTATATCAGCTAGAAGACAGAAAGCATGTTAAATTGAATTAAAATTCTCAGTTGTTAGAATTTGATTTTCACCTTCTGATTTATTGCGTTATATTTTCCGCTTCAGAAAGCCACAGGTTGTTTCAAAAAGTGAAAAAAATCACTGTATTTTAGCATAATTTTTTATCATTCAAGCGCCTTGTCCGGCATATATACCGGAATACGGTATTTAGTGTGGTGCTCACTCGAGACGAAATCAATCCAAAATTTAAGATTAAGATTTCAGCTCAAATATTTCAATATTCGATAATCAAATTGAAAGGTCAGAGAGAAATGATTCGGAGAAAACTATGCAATTCATTAATAACTTGCACATGCCTTCTATATGAATGTTTTCTTTATTTTTCACCTTCTTTGTCATGGCTGTGTTAACCGGTGTCGTTGTTTTGGAATAAATTACATGAGGTGCTTTTCTTACGGGGAAAGGATAAAAACTGGAAGCCGTACTATAACGGGTATGACTAGACACCGGAAAGGGCCTCTTTCCGCGGAAAGGACTCGTCATGACCGGAAAGGGTCGATTTTATTCTCATTAATGGCATTTTTCAAAACATTTCAATCAATATAATTACAATTTATTGAAACAAATACATATCTGAATAAATTGATATCTTTTTTTAAAAAATCGGTATGATTTTGAGAAAAAAATCAATCAGCTCTAAAACCGCACTGACAAAAAAACATTTAAACAGATATTTGCACTGTATTAAAAATTAATCGTATTTTCGTGGCATCGATCTTATTTATCGCGAAATATTGGGGTTACAAGGTCAAAGGTCAAGGTCACTATTACTTTAAAACTGAAAACAGTTTCCAGAGCATAATTTAAGTTCCATATGGCCCACAGTGTTCAAACTTCATAGGATGATTGTCCATATTGGGTAGAAGACACCTATTGATTTTGGGGTCACAAGGTCAAAGGTCAAGGTCACTATTTCTTTAAAACTGAAAAAAGTTTCCAGAACACAACTGAATTACTATTTGGCCCATAGTGTTCAAACTTCATAGGATGATTGTCCATATTGGGTAGAAGACCCCTATTGATTTTGGGTCACAAGGTCAAAGTTCAAGGTCGCTATTACCTCAAAACTGAAAACAGTTTCCAGAGTAGAACTTAAGTTCCATTTGCCCACAATATTCAAACTTTATTGGAGGACTGCTATTTGAAGGAAGTAATACTTAATTTAATTTATGTAATGTCTTACAAATGCTTCATCCTTACTAAAAAAAAAAGCACTTATAATGCTCCGCCTAGCGGTGCTCTTGTTTTTATTGAATTTTATTGAAACGTTACAACTGAGAAAACTTATTATTTTTTTCAGATTAAGAGCAAAGTAAATAATTTCACCATTTTACTTTTAGTTTCTATACCTTTTAAGACAATAATGTCTTTGTTAAACAACCATTGAGATATTTGATAAATGCCATAGAGAAAATCTCTACTTTAGACGGGACTTAAAGTATAGATGTACAAAAAAATAAAGATTACTCTTTGTTTTGCTTTTGAAATTGTTAAAATGTAATAGCCTTGGAAATATGAGAACACAACTTTACTCACTAGGTAGCAGATGGGTGTTAATTGCCATAATTGGGTACATAATTTCTTACAGGAATAAACTATGATGTAATTGACATGTAATTCCTACATTATTCAACATATTTTCAGAGACATAGATAACAGAAATAGGCAACTTCCTAGCCAGTTAAGATATCACGCGTGCTTGCTAAACTTAAAACTTGTAGCAAGTAAAACTTATTAACCAGATATCAAAATCAGTAAAATAATACATTTTCTGAAAGCTTATGCATTTGTCTATGAACATTTACAGTTCCCATTTAAATAAATGATACATCAATTATTAAAGAGAACAACCTACTAATTTTTGTTACAAAACTATTCGTAAGACGAAAAACTGGCTCAGTGAGTTAATGTTCTGCTATGTTTTATTAAGTGAAAGGCAAGGAAAGTTACCAATATTTGAACATGCAGCAATTGATAAAAGATTTAACCATAAAATAGTGTATAATATAAAAGGATTAAATGCACTTCCATTAAGTTTCATTTTCTACAAAATGCCTAATTTTTCACTTTTTGATAGGCATGAGTGATATTTCAATGGAGTTTATGGGAGCTGCTTATCTCTGTTTTCTAAATGTCTTTGATATTTTCCAGAACTTTTGTTGTCTGTGTTAAACAGGTAAGTACCACGAAAATATGTGGCATTGGAATAATTACTAATGAAAAAAATCTTTATGATATGACAATTTATCCAATTTATTTGATTTTTTTTTTTAAATTTTCTCTTTGTTACTTTAAATGGTATATTTGAAAATTGTTATTTATTTTACTTTTCTTCTTTGTGACTATAAATGGAATTTTCTTTAAATTAAAAAAAAATTGTTCTTTGTTACACTCACATCATGTATGACAATAATTCATAAGTCCATTCGGAACTGCCTCGGCTATTATAATATCTATAATAACCTCGGAAACAATACGGATTGAAAGTAGTTCTTCTACGTGGTTTCAGATGTAAACAGAAACAGAGATAATGTCAAACGAATCTATATATTTGACATCTAATGTATGTTCCGGTACTCTTATGCTTGAAAATATGTCTGACAACAATTTGTAATTTAAATATGCCCACTGATGTTCAATTATAAACAAATCCGACTAAATGTCAATAGGTTGGTTTTTTTGTACTTTCGGTTTCTACAGTCATAATAATAAATATATAGATAATGTATTGTTTGCTTTTGTACCTATGAATTTACTTATTTTAGGTGGACGTTTACTACATATAGTGGAAATAAACTTGTCAACAACTCCCAGCATTAAATTACTTTTTGTTTACATGTTTAGTTTCTTAGCGTAGGTAAGACCGAAATACCGCATCCGTTCTGTGTATTCATACTATTGTGTTCGAGGTCCTTATCCGAAGACTGACGGAAAAGGCCGAGTAGTTGCGATTGTTCATAAGTCTAGCATCTTTATTTCAAGAGTTATCTCCTCTTTAGTTTAAGAATTTTGCTTTTTTTTTTTTTTGAAAATGTTTTATACTCAATCTGGTTACAAACAGGGATGTTATAAGATTTACTCTCAGTGTCTTTCAGTCTGTCTTTCTTAAAAGCCTGTTTCCTGAGATCGCTTTTAAAGAACAACTTAAATAAAGTTTCCTTTTAAAAGGAAAGGCTTGCACAGTTGTGCCTTCATCCCAACATATTTACAAATGTAGTTGTTTTTATTTTTGTAAAAACGAATATTTTGTCAAAACGATTTGAAATCTATTCACTAATAAAGAAAATAATCAATCGTAAAAATACTAACGTGGAGATCTATCTATCATACTGAAAGGAAACAAGTGTGCACATTTCATTTCCACTTTTTTCGCAGAGAAATCATTCGTTTTGGCAGTATATAGCTTTATAGACAAGTAAATGCGCTAAAATACTTCGTTACGTGGTACCAATTAATAAGCATGTTCACAGATACGATGCGCTATCTATAAATCATCACGTGGTAAGGTTAATGATATGCATGGGCTATTTTTAGATTACCTCACCAAGTTCAGTAGATCTAAATATAACTCGATCATGCGCTAATATTCTGTGTGATTTGGACCACCCTTAGAAGACGGAATACTACTACATGTACAGTCAACAACTCTATTGTATAAAACTAATACAGACAAAAAACAATTATAAAAGAAACTAACTTTTGCGTCTTGAAAAAGAATTGAAACGAAACAATTTCGTTTATAATTTATTACGGTTTAAATCAATAAATCATCCTATTTATATAAACAAACTGGGATTACCGAAGTAACTAAAATAGCTTAGATTTCCGTAATATTACTTCGTCTGATTCCGCAGTATGACGGAATCGCCCGAATTGTCACGATTGCAATCGGAAGTACATCGGCTATTATCATTAATCCGAAGAGTGATGGAAAAGGCCGAAAAGTTGCGATTGGCACGATTTCAGCTGGTTTCCCGTTCAATCATGCACTTACAAATGTAAGCAGAAAACCACCTCACCGGAACAAGTTTTCCAAATGAAATGGCTTGCAGCCGTGGCTGCAAGCCAAAAAGAGAAAAAGTTGAAACATTAGTTATACATATTCTGAGAAAATCAATTCTTTTCATTATCTTATTGTATTAACATAATTTCCTTACTAGACAGTGAAACTTAACATATTACTTTAATACAGACAAATAAGAACTCAAAAGATTTAAGTTCATTAATTAATTCATTCATTCATTCAATGGCCCTTAAGAATGTTGCTAGGGTTCTAACTGGTTGGGGACTTATGAATTGCTTGCAATACTATGATAATTGCTTGTTAACTTTTGTACTATTTCAGGTGCACATATCAATGTTATTAGTTGGGTTTATTGCATTTTATATGCCTTTCATTCATTGCTAACAATATAAATTAAGAGCCTAAATAATCAGGTAAGCGACATAAGGGCCATCATGGCTCTCTTGTTTGAAAAATTGTTAGTAATGAATCTGGGCTGGGGGCATTTGTGTTTACTAAACATGTTCTTGTTTATTTCTAATATGTTATTGACTATTTCATTGTTTATAGATCATTCTGAACTGATAAAAAGAGAAGAGAAGGAAAGTGAAGCTGTCATTGCCATAGGGCGCGTTGATTGGTCACTACTCCCGCACCCCCCCCCCCCCCTCACCCCCACACCCACTCTAACAGCCCTCCTACCTCTCAAAACCATTTAAAATACAGTATTTTCCATTTGAAACATGTTTTAATATTTGGTTTATGCTTTTAATTCAATAACCTTCATTTCCTACAAAAAATAAAAAATTGATACATATATATTTAGTAAAGGTATGCAACTCGCCGCTCAATTTTCAGCACTCATCTTAATATGAACTCCATAACTTCAACATTTTTTCACCAATTTTCAATATTTTGGTACCAAATAGTAGGGAATTGATTACTCTTAAAGGAATTAAAGTTGTCATTACAATCATTTCAAGTTATAAGAAGATATGTAATCTCGAAGTCACCGCAAGTGTAACTCGACAGTGATCTGACCGCTGGGTTTTCTTCAAAATTACCCGACTAAACGGCAGTTTATTCGAAATGAATGCATATTTCATTGTATTGCGCATATAAGTATGATCAAATTATATTATTATTTGTAATAACTGTTCAATCAAAACATCTTATAAAACTATAACAAACCTTTTTTCCTATATGTTAAATTCCAAATTATAATGCAAGTAATAGTTCTACAGAGTGCTCTCCTCTTCATTTTTTGTACCGAGTATTTTCATTGGTCTTGTTAACACTAGTGGCTGCAGTTTTGATCCAAATATCCTGAATATTGGTCAGTAAGGTTGTTTTGATGATTTTTAGGTCAAGTTTGAAAATTGGTCATCTCCGGGTCAAAAACTAGGTCACAGCAGCTAAAAATAGA